ATATGCCCCCCCCCCTCTACTGCCCCCTCTAGAAAGAGTTTTTTTTTACAGTTAGGGATTAAAACGGTAAAAATTGATATACAGTAATTTAGAATTATATGCAATAATTATGTTTCTGGCAATATGAAAATCAGAAGAATTAATAATGATTGAAAAATGACCTCTGATTTTTTAAGAAAATTATTTTTGTTGTAATTCAGTAAACTTGAAAATTGACAATTTTAATTTGAATGATTTTATTTCCTCGTTCACATGATAACAAAAAAAAAACAATAATTTTCTATTTTGGACAAAAATAACTTGACAAATGTAATATAGAATGAGACTGATACAGGTTCTGTTTTTTAATCCAATCTAATTTTCCCATACATTTTTTTCCTATTCCCATGGCCTTTCTAAATATTTGTGAGATTTAATTTAAGGTTAAGAATTCCCTCTTAAGATTTTTTTACACTAGTTTTTGCTTCAGCCCCCCTATCATATTTTAATTCTGTTCCATGTAACAAGTGCCTTTAGAGTAAAATGCGTTATTTGGTTTATTAAAAAATTGCTGAATTTGGTTATACCTATCTTTCAACCCTAATATCATTGCAATAAGAGATATTAACCAAAATTACTACTTACTAAAATATTATTATCATGGGTTTGTATATCTTTAGTCGCGACATTTTTATCTTTACTCAGTGTAACATTTACAGGACAATAGCTATCATAGCTAAACTATCATAATGATGAACGATATTACTAAAATTTTTCAGAAGTGCACACTGTACTTTGGTCGGGTTAAACATAGAAAATTACCAAAAAGAAGAATATTTCTTTTCTTTAATTAAAGTTTACTAAATGTTCCATGAATTTTCAAAACTTCTGTTCTTTAACGGACTGTTGCCCAGCACTATTAGTGGGTGTTGTTGAATCACAAGATGTCTCATTAAAACAATTCTTATATATTCTGTTAATTTTTTCACTTTATCTGTCAACATAAAATCCTATCCCTGCTTAAAAATGGAATTCTTAATTAAAAAAAAATTAATATTTCCTTTTTTTGACACCCTGTTGATTGCATGATATTTGAGTTTGATATTTAGATTAAACAATAGACGATCTTTAGAAGTATTGTCGAAAATATGAATTGAATACAATTTATGAATTTTGAAAATAAGCCCTCACAAAAACTCGTGATTATGTTTTAAATGTCACATCCTTAACTTGACTAAACTATGTATATTTGAAAACTAAACTTTAAACTCTTTGCTTCTAAATTTTGTCTACTGCAATAGTATAATTAATTGATTAAAGGAACTGCATTTTAATCCAAAATTAAAGTTTACTGTGCACCACTGCAATACCAGTTTTTACTGTCCATATTTTTGTTTGATTTAACATCTTAATCTGGGAGGAATGTTTGAATTTGATTTCTATTGATCTAGAGATTTGCAAACAATTAAATAATTGAAGAAACGTGCAAGAATGTTATGAAGAAAATGAATAGGGCAAGATATAAATAGAGAAAGGAATGAATAAATCTAGGAATAAATAAATCAAGGAATGAATAAATCGAGAAATAAATAAATCAAGGAATACGTAAACTAAGAAATACATAAATCATTGAATACATAAATCAAGGAATAAATAGATCGAGGAATAAATAGATCGAGGAATAAGAAAATCAAGGAATTAATAAATTAAAGAATATATAATTAATGGTATAAATAAGTTAAGAACTGAAAAAATCAAGGGACTAATAAATGAAAGAATAAATTAATCGAGAAATAAATAAATCGAGAAATAAATAAATGAAGGAAAAAATACATCGAGGAATAAGTAAATGAAGGAATACATAAATCAAGGAATAAATAAATTGAGGGATTAATACATTTAAGGATAAAAAATCAAGTAAAAAATAATTCAAAAAATAAAGAAATCAAGTATTAAAGAAATCAGGAAATAAGAAGTATAACAAAAAATCCAAAAAAGTTTTGAGTGGAAATCTGCAGGAAATGTAAGTGTCAAATTATAACCTAAGTACTGTTATGACTTTAAAAATACAAATAATTGGCTTACATTTTTTTAAAACCTCGTTCAGTAGTTCATGTATTTTTATGAATTTTTGGAAAACATATGTGTATTCGTACCAAACGTCAAAACGGCTGAACCGATCAGGCCGAAATTTGTATGTGGCAATTTACATTAATCCATGAACAAGGTTTATGACCGGTGGTTTAAATGTAAGGGTTTGTTTGGTTCAACAAACTTTTGATTTGCAAATTTTTTTGAAAATGTTATTTCTGAAAGTACGAATCATTGTACGAAGGGTGAAAGAATTGTAGAGCTGGCATCTATTCTGTTATTATCCTCGCCTTTTTTAATCTGATAAAGCGTGTGCATTTTATTGCATTTTTAATTAATGATTTGCAGGATATATTATATTAAATGAAAACGTCATAAAGCTGTTAGTTCAATTAAAGAATATAAAGTTTACAAAACTGCAGGATATCGGACTTCTTTAGAATTGACCCCTACCGTCATTTTTTTCTATTCAGCTATTACCGTTTTGTCCAAGGATACGGTTCGGTGGCAACAATTTCTACGATTTCCATATCCTCATAATAGATATAAAGGATTAATTCTGAAGAGTGAACTAGTTGTTTTCTAGCCCCCCCCCCCCCCCCCAATGATAATGATGGTGATAATGATGATAATGATGATAATGATGATAATGATGATGATAATGATGATAATGATGATAATGATGGTGATAATGATGATGATGATAATGATGATAATGATTATAATGATGATAATGATGATAATGCCAATTATGCTTATTATGCTTTTATTATTAGACTTGCCTTCCATGACTGTGTTGGTGGTTGTGATGGTTGTCTCAATGTAAATGATGCAGATAATGCTGGATTTAACGACCTAAGTAAGTTTTTTTTATGTATTTCAAGAGAGAAATCTTTTGTGTCTCAAATAGCTGATTACATGGGTTAGCCGGCTAGCTTTCATCTGGACGGCTTAACCTTTTGTTTGATACCAGTGGTTTAGGGATTTCATTGGTTGTTAAAATCCACCAAATTTTCCGCCTTTCTCATTGATGCAAGGATTAAATTAATTTTCCCACTTTAAGTCGTTAATAAACTATACTAGACTAGTCCCAATACTATTTGTTTAAATTTTGTTAAATTTTCTTGAAAGAATTAATACAGAAACATTTTTGGTCTTGCAACTAATGACTAAAAAATCAAATATTTTAATTTGACATGTTTACATTAAGATTTTTAGACTTGAATAATTTACACGTTTACAACAAAACCGTCAGCTGTGGACGTCACTGAAGTATTTTAAATGGTTCCCCATGATTCACTAATATCTATTCAATATTTAAAATTCCTTGAGTATGGTAAAATTATCCTGTATGCTGAATAAATAAAGCAGATGGTGGGTGACACGAGGGTGGGACACTGCCAGAAGTCTCCCAGATTTTCCAAAAAGTACCGAAACGTATGATGTTAAGAGAACAAATTATCAAGTGAAGATCAATTGATCTTTTATAATCTTTAATTTAAGCGATATTTAGATTTATATCTTGCAATTCAGTATTATTGTTCTATCAAATTATGTATAAAAATAAACATCTAAAAAATGCTCAAAAAATTTTACAACAAAACTAAATCAACCCCGGAATTTTCTTTAGATTTCTTCTTTGATGCCTAAGACGCTTTTGAAGTTTAGGTCTAAAAAAGCAGAGGCTCGGTATTTTTGGCAAATCCCGGAGGCTCACGACGGCTAGGCTGTCCCTTCTACGTGACACTGCCTGAAAATGGTAGAGTTTACAGCCATCAAACCTGAGATGAATTCAGCCCACGCTAGATTAAGAAAAGACCATTAAAAGTTTAAACATATTTTTATCATGCCATTTTTATTCACATTTTATTAAGCCTGGTTAAATGATGGAATTTTATCGACATATTAACCCTATAAAAGTATTATATATTATATATTTACCATATAAAAGTATTATATATTATATATTAACCATATAAAAGTATTATATATTATATATTAACCATATAAAAGTATGCCAAAAAATTACTTTTACAAAGAATCAGATAAAAAAACAGACTAAAGTTTAAAAATTTAATCGGAAATGCTGGTTTTTGAATGGAGGTTCACGTGGAATTGTGCTCGAATTTCCTCCAATAAGATTTCAAATGTTAAAACCTGCGTTAGTGGAAAATGTAAATATTTGGTTTAATTGTTAAACCAATATTTAGACAGTATATTGTTTACGGCTATTTTATTTGTAAAATATTTATTCATACAAATGGAATATTTTTAAGTACTTCCCTATGATGCTTGATCATAGGCTGTCTCAACCCGTGAACAAAATTTTCTTTAAAAAAATAACAATAAAAATCTCGCGGATTAATCTGTTATCTGTATATAAAAAAAGATGTCGTGATTGAATTGAAAACATTTACTTCAATTTAGTTTAACCTAGCTATCCATATACAATTTGCTAGGATGATGGGGGGGNGGGGTCAAAATATGAAAGTACAATGATTCCCTTCTTTATGATTCGAAGAAAAAGTGTTGCGATCAAATTGCTTGTGGTTAAAACAATAGGGATGAAATTACACAACTAAGTTACCAAATGCAAACTTCAAAATATTAACCCTATTCCTTCTGGGGTCGGGGGTCAAGTTGACCCCCCCCCCTGTAGTTTTTTTTACATAACTCGAAAAATATTGGTCTGAGGCTGTTGAAATTTTCTGACTTTTCCTACATACCCAAAGCCCTCCCTTTAGGCCTAAAACCGGGCTTTAATACTAACTACTTGAATCCTCAGGCACACTGCCCGAACGACTGCTTTTTCCTGTAACAAACTAAATCTTTGTTATGACCCTTTTCACTTGTCAGATTTTGATAGAATTTAGCTTTTTAGAAAGCCTATAACATAAGGAAACGGCTTGCACAAGTTTTGCACAAAAAAATGTGCAACCTTTTGGCAAACAACCTGTCAAAGAAAATTTGCACATTTTTAGTTTTTCTTAATTAAACATCAGGTTTTTAAAAATTTTGCAAAACTTTTTGCATATTTGAAATTATAATATGAAAGTAGAGCGCAAGAGCTTTTCAATGATGTATCATTTGTCATATTTGGACATCAAACATTGGATTCAGAGGGGGGGGGTCAATTTGACCCCCCCCCCCCAGCATATCCTGGTTTTCAAGTACCCCAGCAGGGATAGGGTTAATAAATTTAAAGATTTTACACTTTTAAAAATCGTTTTTTTAAACGCTTTTATCGTTTTTAAAATTCCTAGTTTTATTATGCGTATTTTTTATCATGAATTAAAAATCAGTAAAATACATTTTGCGGAATCTATAATCTGTGGAAAATCTAAAACTATTTCAATTAGTGAAAACTGTGTCAAATTTAAATTGTTTTGTTTAGTGGAAGCTCTGGAGAAAGTGTATCAAGCCAAGAAACTTGGAGATATTATTTCCAGGTATATAAATAGTTTAATCATTTATAGAGATGTCTTGTCCGATTCACAAGAATAAGGAAGATATCGTGATTTCAAAATATTTTCTAAAGTTTGATATTATGTTGCAAAATGTTAGAATCCTTCTAAGAATGAATAAGGATGATATTTTAACCCTGGTAGCCTGGGGGGACAGATCCTAGTGTCTTCTAGTTCTCGTTGTAATGAATATATTCGAGTACAAGTTCCCTGCTGCTTTACACATATCGTTCATAATACCACAAAATCGCTTTTTCGTTTATAACAAATTCATTTTAAGAAAAATTAAATCTAACCTTATTTTAATCCTTCTTCTAAACTATATACAAACAATGGCTTTTTTCTTACAGGGTATTGTTAAGATTTTAAACTTAAGTGTGTATTTCTTTGTTTTTATCCTGCGCTCTCATCCCACGCATAGATTCGCACAGAACCCTTGAAAAATATTATTTTATTTTTTTTTAAATTTTCTGACAAGTTAAGCTACTTCTCTAAAGTGAGTTCTCGTTTACAATAGTAATTAAGTTATTTGACTATTTGTACCTAGTTCAACTACATCTTGTTGTTTATCAGATCGACCATTTAGCCTTTAACGGGAACCTAACTGGAAGAATATATATAAAGTTGTAATCTCTGTTTGTCCGATCATAACTCAGGAACCCCTGGACCAATTTGCCTCGAATTTTGATGGGGGAACTCGGGAGACCCACAAAAATTTTCTTAGCTTGGTTTTGAGATTCTAAACTGAGTGAGTCCACTTTTAACGGTTAAATTTAGTTTCCCGGTAAAATCGTTCAAGTGCGGGTAAACGACATGAGTAACTTTTGGTCACCTGGGCAGCGATGGGTTCCCAAGCTAGTGCAAAATAAATAAGAAAATTTCTTAAACAATTTTCACCTTTTTGATATGAAAACCAATCCATGGACGTCTGATTTCAATCGTTTCACATATATATCATGTTTGTGAAGAGACTGAACATATTTAATCGAAAAAAACTTCATTCGACCTCAAGGACGTCCTCCACCCAACCTCTAAAATCGGCGCACACAGTACACAACCAGTTCTTCATCAAACCGTCCCTGGAGACAGTAATAGGGGTCATCATCTAAGTGATCATGCCGTGAGATTTAATATTGACCTGTTCCTGCATTCGCACACAATTTTCAATATTTGTTATGTTTGGGCCTGCGTATTGAGGGGGCTGAATAAGCCCCCTCAGACCACAATATGGCCTGTTCGTCATCCAGGAAACGGTTAATCTACTGGTGTTAGGGTAGTAATATCTTAAACCATTCCCTGTATACAATTGTAGGAGCTATAATGAACCAGTTTTGAGTGCACTATCTTTTGAAACACCTTGTTGTTGGAGGTTTTCCCGTTAAAAGATGAATTTACGGGACTCTTCTTTTCACCGTCCCCCCCACTGCGGCTCGGACAACGGCTGAGGCCAGATATTTGGTTTCATAGGTTCTCCATATAACTTCACCTTATGTATAGGCTTTAAACCCAATGTTGTCGAGAATATTTGGATAATTGATCATTGCATGTTTTTTTACCAATTTAATAAATTTTGTCTACGAAATTCTAAACAGGTTTAAAAACTTCTTACAGCGGGTCAGGGGTTACTTTTTCTCAAAAGCTTTTAGCAAAAAAGATTGGCCTATTGCATCATTTGTCAGCCTGTGATCTTATATAAGTTTTTGGTGGTTCCCCTGGACACCATGTTGTCCCTAGCCAGCTGGCTATTATTGGTACACCCTGTGTTGGTCTTAATCTTGGCTCTACCCAATTCCTCACAGGTCCCTAGAGTTAGCTGATCTTGGTCTGCCATGACAAACATGTAGTTAGATATCCATGCCATCCAGTAAAGTTTTAACAGTGTAGACCAATTACTTACGGCAGGAGAGCAGCTGACATATTTCTTATATTTTGACACCTCACTCCAATAGTACATACATTTATCGGTAACTATCCCTAAAAGGCTCAGCAACCTGAGAATAAGTAGCATGCCGTGACATCACTTTTGCCAATTTAGCTGCTATTTATACTCCTTCTGGAACTAAAAACGCCAGTGTTCTTAGCATATTTAATCAGATTTTAATTGAGCTTTTCAACAGTTTTATAACTTCAGCATGTTAGCTGCTAAAAAATGTAAAGGGCACATTTCATTTAACGACGTATGATCTTTAAAATTATTCCACTTAACTATTTTATTTCTGAATTACGAAGAATTGATAAAGCCTTCTGTTATTTTTCATTATCTCTATACCTCTGAAATGATTTAAATTGACTGTTGAGGTAATTTCATGCTACTCTCTAATTAAAAAGTTCATTGTGTCCAGTTTACATGGCACCCTTTAAAATCTTAGCTGAACAGTGAGTAGTGTGCAACAATAAGAAATATCTGGAAAAGTCTTTTTTTTCTGATCAAAAGAGAAAAAGGTTGTCAATTTTCTCCCTGCTGCTGAGGCACCAATTCGTTAGTCACTTTTATAGTGAATCCGCCATTACACATTATCAATAATAAATGTATCTTTATTATCTTTTCAGACAATAATTTAAACATTTTTTGAATGAGAAGAGTTAGCACTGATGTTTTCAAATGTATTTTTAAACTTTGACGTTTTTTAGGGCGGACTTTTGGGTGTATGGTAGCATCTATGCCATTGAGAAAACAGTAGAACTTGCAAACGAAAATTGTTTCACCAATGATTGCCATGTTCCAAAACCAAGTAAGTTAATTTATCTATATTTTAATATGTATGCATTTATATATATTAAAATCATATTTTGCTGGCTTTCCTTTTGTTTGTCTATATGTCCAGGGTTAAACCGATCGAACAAAAAAGGAATTGAGTTTTTGTCGCAAACTCAAATTTTCCAAATCCTGTAACTTTGAATCCTGAGGGTGTAAACCTGTGATATTTCAAACTTAGCTTGATTGATTTTACAAAATTCATAATTCAAAATATCTAAGATCTATGAAATTAGGTTGCATTGCAAGGATATAGGAGTTAGAAAATCTGAGTTTGCTGCAAAAACTCAATTCCTTTGCCTAAAAAACAAATCTAATATATATTTTGTCGGAAATTTACCAATGAAAACAAGAAAATCTGCAAATTTTGACACGTTTTATTATGTACGTATATAAAGTAGTGGTCTTGAGAGCAGGATAAATTCTCAATAAAGCTTTTATTGTTTTCGTTCATAATACCACAAAATCGCTTTTTCGTTTATAACAAATTCATTTTAAGAAAAATTAAATCTAACCTTATTTTAATCCTTCTTCTAAACTACCGACCGTGACGGCGGAGTTTCTAAATTCTTTCACTCCGATTAACATTGATCATGCTTAACCCTTCACAGGATGGGGCACTCCGTGTGTGGGGGGGGGGGCAATAAAAAAAAATAAAAAAAATTTTAATAGTACTATAGTAGTAAGTTTGTAAAATATAATGGAATCTGATTGGAATATTTACATTGTATAAATTTCATAAAGGTGTAAGAGCGCTATTCTATATTTTTTATTTGCGTTCGTATTAAATCTATCCAGAAAACATATTGAGTACTTATTAGCCTTGGGAATATGAATTGCTGGTATTTGATTGATTAATTATATATCGTGTCCTTTAACTAATTAATAAAACCTAAATTACTGAAGCATATTTCATTTAATCATTATTAATGTTAAAAACAGTCTCATTAATGCATAATTTATCTTCGAATTTAATTACTTTATACAAAGAAAACTGCTTCCGATAATAAGACTCCATATACATTGAATAAAGGTCTTCTTATCAATATTGAGGGATGCGTTTAATGATATTACCAATGGTTGTGATGATATTTGTCCATGCTGGTTTTCAATGACAAAAGGCATTGTGCCGTGAATACTGACATATTTCACTTTAAAAGTCGATTTTCAAGATATTGGTAAAATTATTTGCTCTATAAACATTACCAACATAAAAAACACATTAGACCGGGTAAATGTACTCTTTCACGTTTTGAAGAGTTCAGCTTAGAATCTCTAAAGGTCTCCCTTTCAGTTCAATTCAATTCAGAGTAGAGTGGAATGAGTAATGTTCTTAGGATTTTATTATTTTCAACTAATATCTCAAGCTTTTTATAAACATTTTCATAATTATTTAAATATAAACTATATACAATACAAAGGACAAATTCATTTTTGTAATTTTTAATTTAAAGAGAAAACGAGGACAACAATCATTTACAGTAATCTGTTTACCACAGCATTTGATTCACTTCATTCCGTTAGATTAAATTTTGTTCTATTGTATTATCTTTGCACAACCACTTAATGTTTCATAAAGAAAAAATTTCATAAAGGCCAACAGGGTTGATTTAGTAATATATGTTTTCATTTTTTCTATCTCATCCTTGCTTGACTAAAAACTAAGAATAATTAAAACACAAATTAATATGTGTTACTCCATCCCTGTAAAACATCATGTGGTACAATCTCTGAACAGTGTGCAGCAGTAAAAACGGATAATTGTAAACAGATGGGATAGAAAGATAGAAAGATAGAAAGATAGAAAGATAGAAAGATAAAAAAATAGAAAGATAGAAAGATAGAAAGATAGAAAGATAGAAAGATAGAAAGATAGAAAGATAGAAAGATAGAAAGATAGATAGATAGATAGATAGATAGAAAGATAGAAAGATAGAAAGATAGAAAGATAGAAAGATAGAAAGATAGAAAGATAGAAAGATAGAAAGATAGAAAGATAGAAAGATAGAAAGATAGAAAGATAGAAAAATTGAAAGATTGAAGCCAGTTGGAGACTGAAATCCCCTGGTAACCTACAGTTGTTAATTGTTAAGCCCCCCCCCCCCTCTCCGGTAAAGGCCCCTGAAAATATATTTTATTACGTAAAAAGCGTACGATATGTAAATACGGGAAACTAGGTTCCTACTTAGCAAGACATCAAAACAACCGGTTCGTCTTTTTTTCTACGAAATTAAATATCAGCCCGACGCATTAAATGTCAAATTATGCGTCAGCTATAATTATAGTTATTTGCTCCTTTTTGGAGTATAGCATACCTGACATGCTCTGAACCCCCCCCCCCCCCTTCTACCCCTCCTATTCAGCGTAAATCTGCTTGTAAACCAAGCTTTTTGCTGCTTCAATATTCTGACCATTTCAATAACTGTTCTCAGTACAAATGGTCAATTTAGAATAGAATATAATTCTCTATTTTATGATTTAGAGTCTTTTTGTGATGAAAAACATGAATATAATAAAATGTTTCCGGATTCCTCAAAAATTATTCAACGCTTTTATTGCTTTCATTTCTCTAGGTTTTAGTGTAAATTAACATGATTACAGATAACTTCTATCTACGGAAAATTTATATTTTTTTTACTTTAGATCATCATTGTTTATTATCAAAAATATCAGATAATTTTTTATCATCTATCATTATATTACTATTCTAACTTTTATATTGTTATCATCATGATTTTTATTTTACGAACTGTATGAACCGCTACATTAAAAATAGCAGTGGTCAAATCCGGTGCTTTCATTATGATTTTTATCATGATAATTATTATTATCATTTTGCGATTATCATTATCATCATGACTATGATTATGATTGTTTTTATCATTATTATTATTATTATTATTATCATTATTCACGGGCAGCCGTAGTATATTTGAATTTCCGAGCCAAGTCAACCTTTCCGGTCCTAGTTTGTACTGTACCTAGCTCTATGGACAGGACTAGCCAGTGCAACAAGGTTGACGCGGTCAGACTTTATGCTTCACATAGATATAATTTACTTTTACTAAAGAAGCAGAGGTGCATATATTAGTATTAACATTATCATTATTATTATTAGCATTACTATTAGTATTATTACTATAATAATAATTATCTATGTAGACTTGAAGTTCCAGTATGGCCGTATTGACTGTCCATCTTCACCCTACAGTGAGGAGCATCTACTTTACCCTAGTCCTAACTTTGATTATCAAGGTATGTAACATTTACTTTCAAGCGAGTTCCATAGAACTTTTGATAAGAAAAATGACCTTTTCACTCAAGTTATAAATAGTTCAAGTAATGTAAAATACAGAAATAGTCCATTTAAAACCGACAAAATTCAATCTATAAGTTAATTTTCAAACTACAGATAAAACTTTGCTTGTTTTAAATGTCGTCTTCCTATTTAACATTTTTAAAGGGTAACTGTACAAAACATTATCGAATATTGACAGAAAAGTGTTAACTACTAAATACAATGTTTATTTGACTGTTAAAAACAATGTTCAATATTCATGGTTAATAACGATATCCACGATATTTTATCTATTGGATTGTTCAAGATGTTTATACTAATGGTGCGGGAGAAAGGGTTCGTGTTGTATTTGATTGTGGTGTTAGACATGTTAAGGTTGCCACTTGCTACTTTCAAACTGTCTATTTTGTTTTAAGGTTACCAGTCTGTCTCTCCTCTAAATCTTTATGTTTATTTTCTTTAATAAATACCAAATTCATTCTATACTTCGTGGCATTAAAAGGTTTGATTAGCATGTGCGCTCTAAAATATACGATGTTGTTTTTGTTGCGTTAATATCACCATAATTACATTGTTTTTTATATCTATATAACACATTTGTTATCTCTTTTCCGACCCTTTTTTTAAAGGATCTTCGACGTAATTTTAAGTGACCTCCGTTTCTAGAGTGGTATGTTCAATTCCCGACAGTACCTTTATAATAATTTCAAGTTAGAAGAACAACAATATTTAGTTTATAGTTCAGATAAAAACACTGTTGCGAATCGAATCGTTGCTTCTGATTTAATTACATGCTGAAATCAATGCACCAACCAATAAACCAACCAATGAACCAACCAATGAACCAATCAATGAACCGACCAATAAAACAAACAATGAACCAACCAATAAACCAACCTATGAACCAACCAATGAATCAATCAATGAACCAATCAATGAACCACCAATGAACCAACCAATGAACCAACCAATGAACCAACCAATGAACCAACCAATAAACCAACCGAAGAACCAACCAAAGAATCAACCAAAAAGCAACCAATGACCCAACCAATGACCCAACCAATGAACCAACCAAAGAACCAACTAATGAACCAACAAATGAACCAACCAATGAACCAACCAATGAACCAACCGATGAACCAACCAATGAACCAACCAATGAACCAACCAAGGAACCAATTAAACCATCAACCAACTAATCCACAACCAAATAACTAACCCATCAACTAGCAAATAATAATCATCTTATTAATCAACCAACCAATAAATTATGACTTTCCAGGTGTTGTTAGCTATTTTGAAAATGAGTTTGGATTCACAGCAAATGAGACTGTTGCACTGATGGGAGTTCATACATTAGGAAAAGCTTCAAGAAACAATTCAGGATTTATGGTCAGATTTTGATGCTAAAATTCATTTTTTGTTTTTAAACAATTTAAAAAAATTTTAAATGGTTATCTACGATTTTTCAAATTTTAACAAGTCGATTTCCATTGAATATAAAATTATTTTTCATCCCTGCCGATAATATAGATAATAATATAAGAAGAAATGTTACTCCTGGGTATCAGATTTGTCACACTATGGTTTTATGGTTCATATACTAAGATAGTTAAGATTGGACCATACCCTCCACTGCCCAATATAAGTACAGGTTGTTAAACATAAATATTGGTCTTATAGATACACAGTGTTAGATATTGATATTGAATATTGCTGTTACAAAAAGGTAAAAATATAAATATTATTGTTGTTGTTATAAGTGTTATGATTGTTTAAATATAAATATTGCTGATATAGATAAAGGTGTTAAATATAAAAATTGCTGTTGTAGATTAAGGGTATCAAATTAAAAAAATAGTTGAGATTAGATTTCAATGTTGATTATTCAAACTTCCATGTAAAGGATTTTAATCGGCTAATGAGCTCAAGAATTATAAGAATCATATAGCTGTCCACGCTTGTTACAACTTCAGTTGTTTTCTTATCCTTAACCATTAATACAGCTTTTCCTTGGTTGATTTGAGGCTTTCGCCATCAAAATTTAGTTTTTATTTAAAATGTCCGGATTATTGAACTAGTTGTATTTATTTCAGTTAAAATTTTATATCCTGGATGAAAGGAAGTAGAATTAAGGTCACAAAGAAACCTGCTGTATGGAGAGCCCCCCCCCCCCCCTTCATCGACCAAAGAAAACACATGTTACTCAATATTTAAAAGTGTTTTCTTCTAATTTTACTTACAAACATTCACAGAGAGAGACCCCATAGTCACTGTTGTTAACAAGGACAGGGGGGGGGGGAGTAACAGTACACATGCAGTAAATACCCTACTCCTAAAACTGCTTTTAGATCTGTATCAATCCAGGTATAAGGAACTCAAGGTTCACACGAATACCATAGCCAATATAAATTCGGATGGGGTTCAGTCTGTATTCTCAGGTATCTGTCCTACAGATAAAATCAATTTAATACCAATTCCATATTTCAAAAGAGTGATTCAGGAGGCTTCTCGTTTGCTAACCAAGAAGTAATAACTCTCGCACTGTAATCAAAGCGGAGTCTATTCCAACTGACGTGTATTTTTATATCTATGTTATAGGTTAATTTAATATACAATTTGCAAGATTTCCTCAGATATATATAATCGTAGTTTTGCTAATCATAATACAGGTTTGACGTATTTATGGACGAAGCTAGGTTAGGTTAATCGCATTACAAGTTTTGCATAGTTACAAACAGCGTACAACGTAATATATTTATGTATGTTCAGGTTAACAAATATAGGGTTGCCACGATTTTGCTACACACAGATACAGAATAACTCAATTCTGATAATTAATATTTTCTAAAATTTTTATAACATCACAGTTTTTTTGTACTGGATTTACGTTCAATATTTACAGTGTACGGAAGTATCATTGAGTACATAAAATAAATGAATTCATCCCCAACAGATTGAATAATATTTGAAGATAAAATACCAGTAAATAATATAGATACTGTGTAAATATTGGTTTAAGAACAAAATCAAATATTTACTCATTGCATATTCAACTAAATTATTACATTATTATATCAGGATGGATGTCAACCTAACCCTGAAAGAGAAAAAGCTTTTTTATCTATTTTTTTCATAAATCTCTGGCGTTGTCAAATTAAATCTCTGGCGATGTAAAATTTTACTGGTCCGCCTTATTTACACAAATACACGTTTTAAAGTGAGTGATCGGCTAGACATGATTGTAAGGCTAAGAGTGCAGTATTATAGAGAAATATGTTAGGTTCATTTGAGAGCTATGAGACGTTTTACGGTGTACAAATGATCAGCAAGATTGTAAACTCAATCTTTAAAATCCTCCTGGATTGTCCATTCTGGACAATTGATTTTTTAAAATTAATTAAAATCGCCGGCGACGGAAACCTTTTGTCAATAACTTAGGTCCTAAAAAAGATTATTTTTGATAATGACTGTTAACTGTTTCTCAAATGCACTTACCAAAGTATTAACACTCGTCACAAAATGATTTTTTCCCCCAATTTCTACTTTTAAACTGAAGCAGAAACAGTCGCAATACAGTTTTAATATGTCCATTTGGCTACGTAGATTAATGAGATACTTCAAAGTCGACCTGTTAATCTTAAATGTTGTCAGGATCTCTGTGAATATTTTATTTCTTTAAATGTGCAATATCTAATTAATGTGCTACTCCATAAATATGATACATTCAAAATAATATACCGCTTCCAAAATGTGAAACTTCCTTAATGTGCAATATGCACCTTAACAAATAAATAATTTATCTTATGCCTTAGTTTTATAAACATTTCCAAATGTTTTTCTTAGAAAAACAGTTTATTCGTAAAACTTATTTTTTTGAACAATACTTAGTTTTGTTAATTATGAGTTTGAAGTTGATGTTTAGAATTTAATCTAAACCACATTAAAGGCACTGCAGGCTTAGTTTCAAGTGACTTGACGTTTTTTAGCCATTGGATGTGTGATTAACACTGGTATTCTTTTTTATTTTCAATTGTGGTTTTTCTATTTAGTGACCTGTGCATTTTCGCTTAAGAAAAAAATAATAATGTCAAATAATTTATTTTTATTTAGGGTAAGTGGGTTGAGAATGAGGAATCTATGTTCAGTAATTCCTACTACAAGCTACTCAAAGATGCCATGTGGTTTCAAGTGTAAGTAGCAAAATTTGTACTTTTTGGAATTATATTTTGACATTTTGTCTAAAGTAAGTTAATAAGATGTTTGATTTGAAAAATGTAAAGAAAAAACAAAAGCCTGTATATGCATTGTTCAATGTTATAATATTTAAACTTGTAAACATTTAGAAATGATGAAATTTTGGATTTAAAGTAATCATGTTTTGTGCGTCCTCTTAATAGTTTAAAGGGTCTAATCTGATAGTTCTTTTTATCAGTAGGACACACTGTGTATTGTTAGGATGACCTTAAAATTGTCACCCGTGTATTTTTTGTACACCTTTAAAAATGTTAGGACACCCTGGCCATTGTCAGGAAACCCTGTGTATTGTTAGGACACGCTTTATACTGTTAGAGCACCCTGTCCATTGTAAGGAAACCCTGTGTATTGTTAGGACACGCTTTATACTGTTCGGACACCCTTGTCCATTGTTAGGCCATCCTATATCCTAATAGGACATCCTATACGCTGATAGGATATCCTGTAAAATGTTAGGACACTCTTTGTATGCGTTAGGATACCCTTTAGTTAGGACAGCCGTGTACTGTCAGGACACGAAATTACATTGTTAGGATACCCTGTGTATGTTAGGAAAGCCCTTTCTATTGTTAGGCCATCCTATGTATTTCTAGGCCTATGTATTATTAAGACATCCTGTATGCTGATAGGACATCCTGTAAAATGTTAGGACGCTCTTTGTAGTTTTTAGACACCCTTAATGTTGTTAGGACACCCGTGTATTGTTAGGACACGCTTTATATTGTAAGGGTACTCTGTGTATTGTTAGGACACGATTTATATTGTTAGGGTACTCTGTGTATTGTTAGGAAAGTCTGTCAGTACACCCTGTATAATATCACGTGAAAACATCTGGCGTTTACTTTATCAGATCTATTGATTGCCGTAAGATTTACGAGTGTTGAACCGAATAATTTCAAAATTAAATTAGAATTTATTTTAAAAGCGTTGGACAGGTTTAATTTGGAAACTATTATGTGTAGACTCCACACGGTGTTAGTAGTTTAATTAAATTCAAGCTCTCTTTACGTTAAAAAATATGTATGCTGGTCTTACACATTCATGAAATCAGGAAACTAGCATCACCCCGCATATATGTATATAGAACCCATATATTCTATATGAACCTATATATTCTATATTTATATATTCTAAGAACCTACATATTCTTTAGGAACCTACATATTCTAAGAACCTATATATTCTGTAGGAACCTATATATTTTAAGAGCCTATATATTCTAAGAACCTATATATTCTAAGAACCTATATATTTTAAGAATCTATATATTCTTTAGGAACCTATATATTCTTAGAACCTATATATTCTGTAGGAACCTATATATTTTAAGAACCTATATATTCTAAGAACCTATATATTCTTAAGAACCTATATATTCTAAGAACCAATATATCCTGTGGAAACCTATATATTTTATGAACCTATATATTCTAGGAACCTAACCCCGGATGAAGAAGCGCACTTTCAATGGAACGCTCCCCGGAAAGGCTTTATGCTGAACTCGGATATGGCAATATACAAGGTAAGCAAACATTACTTAATTTATTTGATAAATTGCTTAAAAATTGTAAATCATCTTAAGATATTTTAAACTGTTCGTGGCACCTATGAAACCGAATTACGAAGACGAAATTTAGTCCTCTAAGTTCTATGTTGCTTTTAAACAAAAAGCTTTACTAAAGTAACTTAAAATAAATTTTTTTTACAAATATTATTAATTATCTGTGATGTTTAAAAGAACGTAGCTACGAAGATGTACGAAGAATATAAAACAGGAACCCCCAATTCTTTGTTTATAAAATAAGTGTACTGCAGTTTCTGGGAGGAATGTAAACAACACTGGGCCTGAGAGAAATTGAGCTTGTTACATGCAATGAGAATAGAATATTCTAGAGTCGAATTTTTCTCGAAAAAGGTGTAAAACGGCTATTTTGTTTTACTGTTTCCATAATGCAGGTGTACTACACACATTTATGCTTTATAACCTTTTGCCTTTTGGGCCCTGTAACATCATTTTATAGAAAAGTTTTCTTGAAAATTGTTTGATTTTCTCTAAATGAATTCTCGGATAGCCTGTCATGCATTCCCGAGTTCATTTCAGCATTAGTTACGATAACAATCAATTTTATGTTTTCATTTAGTAAAAACATATTTTTTAATTTGAGGTAATTAAATTGTAAAACCAATATTTTTGAAATACTCAAGATACCAAAATATTAAAATTGAGAATAGTAAATGGTTATTAACTCTTTAATTTCAATTTCATAACTTTTATACAGTGGGACTCATAAAAATGCGAAATGGAATGAAAACATTTAACCAATCTAATTTATGTTTGCTAAGTTTCAAGTCTTGTTTGAAAGTAAAACGGGTCTGAACCAGCTAAGGGGCAGACGGAAAGGGGGGAAACAACCCTAGAAAATTGCGGGAAGCTCTATATGTAGAATGTATAGAAACTTAAATTCTATTTTAAGAATGGATTAAAAACATTTTCCCTGTGGAACACTTAATAAATAAAAAATTGTTTAGTTAAACAAAGATAGTTATTTAGTTTTGGAACGCAGGTACCTTGGAATTTTCAGGTAGGGGGGGGGGGGGCATTTTTTCGGACCAGAAAACCTTAGAAAAGGTCGAAATTAACGACTCATTACACATAGTTTCTCGATAAAAAAAGTATGGCTGAGGGTTCAGTTTTAGCGTCAAGCTTTTAGCCTGAAATGGCTTTTTTTGAGCTTTTAACGGCATTTTTCTTTTGGATGTCATTTTTCTTGAAGTAAAAAAAATCATGGCTATTTGTAATAGCTCAAAGGAAAAGAAAAAATATCCATTTAAATTGTCTTTGAAAAAAGGAAGCAAATTGCATAAATCTTGCTGGAAAGTTTTTCATTTTTTGATAAGTGATTGGATTTGAAAAACAATATTTTGATATTTTCAAATCTGAAATTTTTTTTCTTTTCTGGTTCATCAACCTAGCTCGATATCTGAGTAACAATAAGGGAGATATCATCATTTTCTAAATCCCTGACAAGGAGAGGGGGGGAGGAGTGAAAAAAATTTACCCTTCCCCCCCCTCCTGGCTTAATCCTAGAATCCCCTTGCTAGAGTTGTCTTCTAATTGTTTTGCTTTTTGTTATGCATTGATTTACGAAAATTATCCAAATTTGAGAAAAATATTTGAAACCCTTACTACTTTTTGTTTGTTTTTGCTTTACAATGATATACAAAGAGAAAATGTTCTGAATCCAAATAGAAGATAGGGGTGAAGCGCCCTAAAAGCCTAAAAAATTGATTTGAAACAAGATATTGATTGCATGATACAGAAGAGTCTGAAACAAACAAAATAACAATTCTGTAGATATTCACTTTACAAACGACGATTTTTACATTTTAATGTTTAATACACACGTTAAATATGTCCAGGGATCATACTGTATTAGTGTGATGTACTGCAGTGTATAATTTGTGAACATTTACATGAATTGTACCCTTTTGAACTCCCTTTCAGGATGAAAGGACTAACAAAATTAATACCGAGGGATTGTTTAAATTCCACTCTAATATATTCTTTTCTCTTTGGTTACATGCCCCCCAGAAATCGCAACGCACTTTTAATGTAAGCAAATAAATTGATGTTTTTGGTGTATCTTGTTTAAAAACATTTTAGATACAGGTGTATAGGCCGGTGTGATCAACGAGGTTATAGTGTATAGAGTGATGATGTACGCTAATCCTTTACTAATTGTATGAGCCAGAAACTATACTCAGAGCGTACGGCATATTTGTTTATTATAAAGAGATTCTGGCCTAACCTATAGTATATCAATGTTAGTAAAGTGTACAGTATCCGAATTTGATGAATTTAAGCGGCGTCTCAAATCCCCCAGAAACCGGTTTCAATTGAGCGCCGGCTTAAATCTTGAAAAATTAAATACAATTTTAAGGGGAATCAACCATACCCGGCTAAAATTTAAGCCGTGGCTCAAATTCTTTAAAATCTTAAAAATTCTCAGTATAGCTAACTAAGCACACAGGTAAGGAACGTAGGATTTTCATTAAAAGTTGGTTGATCTTAGATTTAAATACATTGATAGTCCTTTAAATACAGATTATTCTAGGATATGAAACTGAATGAGGCTGGCGAGAGTTCGTGTAATTATACTACCTGTCCTCTATCTCAGGGGGCCAGCCTGGTTCAAATATATTCAGACAGGTTTATAGTTACTAAGACGACTTTTAAACGATAAAACAAAAAATTATTTTACACTTTGCTGAATTGTATTGAATAATGTTTTGACTGCATACAGTTGTACTTAGTAAAACAAGAAAATTGCAGTATACAAATAGAGTAAACTTGTCCGTCTTCACTGTTCATCTTGCGGATACGTTATAGACACATCTTTACAGTCTTTTAGCCTTTTCATAAGACGATATCAATTTCGTCACTGAATTCCCATGTTTTTTGGGACACACTGTATGTAAAATTTTATATTTATGAATAAAATTATCTGAGTGTTCTTTTTCAGTAACGCTGTGTGGATTGAAGATTTTGCTGCTGTTTATTCCAAAATGATTTCACACGGAGATTTTACTCTATCCAACCTTGTGGAAGATCCAAGCAGCTCTGAGGATAAAAGTCCCACAGATAAACCAAGGGTACCTAAAAGTACCACAAAAGAGAACGCTACAGTGTCTTCTACTAGCTCTTCTAGTTCATCAGCTCGGCATTTCTTTATTACTTACACCCTTTTAGTAGCCCTCTTTATTATCAATTATGTATAAAATGTAGATTATTTATTTTAAACGATGCTAATTTATTCAACTTAGATTTAAATTAAAATAAATAAATTCAATGTACACGTTCATTAAATTATAAATCATGTTCTTTTTTCACTTCCGGTCATACCTTCCATACGGACAGTGTTATAATATAATAGTTATACTCAAACTTAACTTATCAAACTAATCTAACTAAGCTGACAAAAAGAAAGAAACTAATTTCAAAATGGTAATAGTTTTTATTCTATTAAGAACATGAACAAATATAAATCTTTTTAAAATACGGAAAGAATTTAGATATAAAAAGAATTGGTGGTTTTTACTTGAATGTGAATGGTTTCATTTCTTGAGATTATGTCTTTGAAATAAGTCGGTGGATTTCTTAATTTCTTCTGATCGTCCATTTTCAATGGACGAATGATGTTAGCTGATTTTTCGTTTTCTGTGAAAACTGTTGTTTTTCCTAGGATTTCAGGATTCACAGAAGTTTGGTTTTGAATTTCCTGATATTTCAGATTTTCATCTGAACTCGATTCTGAATTTATGGACGATAATGTGTAGATTTCCATCTTCTGCTGCTCCTTCGTTGTTGTTGTTTTGCAGTACACCTTGCAGTACACTATCAGGAGAATAAAGAATATTATGATTAGCACAACCAGGATGGGAACTTGATATTTATATTGGAAAAATGAGTTTCCTTCTTCTTGATTTTCAATTTCAAAATCAGCTGCTATAGCATCAAAGTAAGGTATGTTTGGTGATAATTCATCACTAAATACAACTTGGTTGAGAACATATAGATTCTGTTGACAAGTGACATTGTACACATGTACAAGAGTATGTACAACTAGAATAAGTAGAGAATGATTCATGTTTACACCTTAAAGGTTAGTTTAGAACTAGATAAATATTTAGAAAGTCTTGATATTTATACGAGTTAGAATGACCGCTAGTTAGTTTTGAGCATCAAACCTTTACGACCGCAGATTCCGGTCATGGACGTATCACGAGTTTAATATTTTGAAGGTGGGGGGGGGGGAGGGGTTGTGGTAGATGGAAGGGGTGGAAGGCCGAAACAAAAACGTAAAAACAGCCATGATTGAAATACCCCAGACTTTTTCGCTAAAAGTTATTTAAATCATTACAAAACAATGGAAAATACCGATATCGTTTATCACGCAAATTTAACAGTTCGGTTCTTGTGACTTTATAGGTCACAACACAATATATTTACTATTTTTTCTCTTAATCTCGTTTATACTTTTCTGCCGATGGATACGTTTCATAGATAAAAATACGATAGCCGGACGTTTCACCTTCTTTCCTTGGCGGCAAATTACTGAAACTGCAGTCAGGGCTGCTTTTTTAATACAACATAATTTCTTCAATATTAGTGTTGATACGAAATGAACTTTTAATTACAGTAATGAATAAAACTAATAATTTGACAAAAAAAAATTATTATTTATTATTTGTAAAAGTTAATTTAAATTGCATTCATCAAAATAATTAACAATTAGTTTAAATCTAATATTTCTTTCAAGAATTCTTGTCGATTGAGATGGCTGCGGATCAGTGTAGGTCTTGTCTTTGAGCTCTTTAAAAAGTAGTTTAACCAATGTGTATTCTCATCTAAGACCTACGAAAGACTTCCCTGCAGTCTGTATTCCAGGCTGATCAGCTTTAAAACTTCTTACCAAACCATCGTTCAGTTTGGTTGTTTGAGGTAGGTTCATTATTAAAAATTTCATCTCAGACATTCCAAATTTCTAAAGGAAGCCTCGGGGGTTTTCTGAAGCCTTTGGTTCCCTTTCCAATGTAAGTGTTTTCAACATAATTCTTGGAGTACTGGAAAAAATCTCTATCCTGGAGAATATTTTTTCGCATTGTCCGAAAAAAACAACAGCCTATATTTCTTCGTGACAATTATTGAAAAACTGGATATGTACACTGTACATTTGTATACAGTACATATCCAATTTAAATTGATTTTTTGGGATTTTTTTTAATATGCAAGTCTCGGCAAACCCTATCTCAACATATAATATGTTAGTTTCAGCAAGCTACCAGAACTGTAAAATCAAGCATTTGCCGCTAAGACAAGACGTCCGGCTATCGTATTGATATTTGATAGTATTTTTATCTATGAAACGTATCCATCGGCAGAAAAGTATAAACGAGATTAAGAGAAAAATTGGTCAAATATATTGTGTTGTGACCTAATACAACTCTGTTTTAAAGATTGCTAAACAATCGACTAAATGCATCTCGCTGGCCTGGTTAGTCCCAGGTGATTTTAAATTATGAACTAGACAGAAGGAGAATAACAAAATTTATGTGACATTACCGGTACAACTTTGTGATCTCGTAGCTCCTTTAGTTTTGATTATATAAATACAAGTATGACGAAAGCAAATTTATCTGGCTACATATTATATAATTCGTATAATTTGCTTTAAAGTTTGACGTCTTCAAAGTAAATTGTATGTTAGATTGAAATCTTACTTGTTTAAGTGTTTAGCCAAAGCTTTTCTCTTACTCAAAGAGAATAGAATATATATTAGAGGGGAATTTACTAGAAAAAAGTGTAAAACGGCCATTTTGTTGTACTGTTTCCATACTGCAGGTGTACTTCACATATGTATGCTATATAACCTTTTGGGCCCTCGAATATCATTATATAGAAAATCTAAAATTAATATTAAAAGAAAACCAAATTATGAAATAGGCTGGTTTTATAATTAACCAATGATCATATCATCACTTTACAAACTAAGATTTTTCGTTATAACTATATAAATCAAATAATGTCTTTTATTCACCTAATTCATTATAAAGTTTATTTAACAGCTTTAAAAATTCGAAATTGAAATGGATAGTCTAGGGAACATACTGTATTAATGTACTATACTGCATATAATTTGTGAACATTTACATGATTTGTACACTTTGAACTCCCTTTCAGGCTGAAAGGGACTGAAAAAATTCATACTGAGAGATTCTCTAAATTCCCCTCTAATATATATTCTATTCTCTTTGCTTTTACTCTACACTATAAGCCTATTATATCTATACGTCTACGGTCAGTGCACTGCATGCACATATATGCAGAACGCACCGAAAGCTTAGTTGGGGGTGCATTTAGAAGCTTTTCTCATATTTGAGAATAGGTTCAAAACTGAAGGAGCTATAATGACGCAAAGCCATTCAAGTAATTTCGTAAACCTAGTCCGTACGTTTAAAAGTAAAGTAACGTTAAAAAAGTATTTGAAATAAATTGTTTACGGTATTTTGACTTTTTACTCAAATATTCAAACAATGAAATTAAAAAAAAAAACTTTTTAACTATACCAAATTGTTAAGTCACGAAAGGAATTGAGTTTTTGTGACAAACTAAAATTTTCTAATGCTTATATCTTGGCAATCTAATAGTGTAAATCTTTTATATTTCAAACTTAGATCACTTGAACTAACACAATTCATAGTTTGAAATATCTAAGATCTCCGACATTGGGTTCTTAAGATATAGGAATTAAACAATCAGAGTTTGTGGCAAAGACTCAATTCCTTTGACCAAATTTTAACGAAAACTCTTTTATAAAGTCAAAAATCCAAATTTTCAAAACACAACGTGATGGGTATAAAAAAATCCGCAATAAACTCCGATCTCAAACAATTTATGATTTAGGGGGAAAGTTACCCAAAATCAGAGATTTTAAGAGCATCACTTCTTTAATGTTCATCATTTTTTGTTTTGGTTTAAGATTTAATTTGGGATTTTATTGAAGATCTCTTTTCATGCCAGAGGGCGGACATAGTAATTAAGCTTCTGCCTTGAATCGCTGTAGAGTGTAGAGTGTAGAGTGTAGAGTGTAGAGTGTAGAGTGTTATAGAGTGTAGAGTGTAGAGTGTAGAGTGTAGAGTGTAGAGTGTAGAGTTTAGAGTGTAGAGTGTAGAGTGTACAGTGTACAGGTGACATTGTTGAATATTTCGCCCTTTCAGGTATTGAATTCTGTATGAAGTAAAATTTAAGAATTTTCAAATCTTTTTAAATGAATTTTTGCTTTTCATTAATTTTTTCTATTAATTTTTACTTTAACAGCAGTAAGAATTGCTAATAGTATTTTTTTTAATTAATGGAATATTCTAGACAACATTCCTCCTTTGGAACTGAGTGTAGTTCATAATTCTGCCACAAAAGTTCATACTAAATCAATTAAACATAGTAATACTGAACCACTAATAAAAAAATGTTTGCTACAATTTTTTATATATTCAGTTCAATTTGCTTACAGTTTCGTAAAGTTTTTTTTCAGGCCTAATAAAACTGAAAGGTCTCCAGGTCAATGTGCCAATTTAGGATATGTAAACCTTTACTCAATATTAGATTGTGCTTAATGATGAAAATTTTTACTCTAAATAATATAACCTCCTGGTTCAGTGGCTTTCTAACAGACAGTGATATGCTGTCAACGCCCACTCTCTTTCTAATACCTCGATGTTTCATACCCATCATCATGGCATATGTAGAGATTCATATTTTTACTTGGATGTATTTGTACATAATTAAGATTTCATAATATTTTTAACTTGTTTCATATACGATCTAGTTTAAACGACGATTTTTTTATCGCTAGGTTTCAATAGGAACCCAGAAGCATTATTTCACTCCTTCATGTTTCTTTTTAACATGTCTTTTCAGATGACCTGCTTGAGTTGCAATATTCTCACATTTAGAGCAAGTAAATCTCACTCATTCCAGGGGCGTCGGAGGGGGCTGCCGGGCCCCCGCCCCCCTCCTACGCTTGCCCCCATATCAAAAATACTTTAAAATCTCACTTTTGCCCTTAACTAAAAAAGTTTCATTAAAAAAGCATTAATCAATACATGAAGTTCTGTCAACTAATGTTCGTAATCTTATCTTTATCAATCTCTCAAAATGAAGCACGCATTTTCTAATTGATAAAATATTTATAAGTATCTATATTTCTCAACGAGGTTATAGTGTATAGAGTGATGATGTACGCTAATCCTTTACTAATTGTATAGGCCATAAACTGTACCGAGAGCGTACTGCATATTTGTGTATTATAAGGAGATTCAGGCCTAACCTATAGTATATCAATATTAGTAAACATTTGTAAGCAAACAAGTTGGATACTATCAACCTACCTTTAAACCTTTAAACCTAAAACATGAACCTTGCCAACTGAAGTTATGGTTTCAAATAGTCAAATAAACTTGAAACAACACAATTGTCTTGTGTACACAGACCCGTTGCACTTAATAAGTTCATTTGTTTTGCTATTAGTAAATCATTTGCGTATTAACATCAAAAGTATCTGTAAATTTTTTTCGATTTTCTTTTTCAGAGTTTTAAGGGGTTCCATTGAACAATGGCAAATCAAAAACCTTTAATGTTCCAGAAACATTAATAAGATTTGAATTTTCGCATGTGACAAAAAACTCGTTTTTTAAATTTTCACTATAAAACAGGCTCGTTTTAATCTGTATAAACCTGCTTATGTTGTAAAGGTCGGTATCAGGCTTTTTTAGTTTACACTTATCAATCAATTTGATTTTGAAGGTGTCCCAGTCGGCAGGGGCGTACGAGGGCATTTGTTTAGAAGGGGGCACAATTTTTGGGTCCCCCCTTTTGGCAACATTGTGCCCCAACCTTAAAAACCCCTTCTTAAAAAAAATATTGATACATTTTTTAAGCTTCAATTTTCTGAGATTTGCTTGCACAAACATTTCAATGATTTCTCAGTAGAGAGCTCAGACAGCCTTGTAGGGTGTAAGGCTATAAGTGCAAGATCGTAAAGTCTGCTCTTCGTCACAGTACATCTTTTCTCTCCTTGTATTAACAGTGAATTTAGACAAATCCAATTAGTCTTTGTTATTGTCAGGTGCTACTTTTTAAACGTAGTTTCCTTTTAATTTTGTATTTTCCAGGGGGGCAGGGCCCTGCCTGGATCTCCCGGGGGGGGGCAAGGGGACTACTGCCCCCCTAGGTACGCCACTGTGCCTGGCCTGAGGAAGGGAAATGCAAGCAGATGTAATTTTCAAAGAGCCTCCTCTTATGGGTGCCCCTGCCCCCCTTAGCCTCTTAGGGGGGGAACACATAGGGAGGGGAGGGCCCCCCTCGTACGCCACTGCCAGTCGGAGATGTTGTTGAAAGGGGCCTTGCTTGACCAGCAGGATGGCCTGGAGTGTGAGTAAACTCTTGTCAGGGAGAATCTGTTCAGGATTGATGACAACCAAGGGTATAAATCACAAGTCATACCGCTCCAGTTTGGCGTGTCTAGCTTGGCTGGCTTGAAACTGGCAAGGGTTTGGATGAGGTTGGTTGAGGGAGGGNGGGTCTTGCAAATTTGCGGAACGTGCAGAGTTGGTGTCAAGGAGGTCTTTGGCAGTTAAGTAAGGAGACTTGGAGGTTGAAGTGGTCATAGATGAAGAATTCTAGGTTGGTTTCTATTTGGTGGATGTATTGTTTGGATAAGGCACTCAGAAGGTGGATGCGGTTTGAATGCATTGGTGAGGATCAGGATGGTGTGGTTGGGAGGAGGCTGGGGGAGGTCGATTGTGGTTGGCGAGGTCCGGGAGGTATCACTGCTGCTCAGTGCTTTGTCCAGATTGCGAACGTGGTTGGTTGGTGTGCAACAAATCATGCATCCCTGTAGTTGGCAGGGAGAGTTTCTGGGGCATGCTCTCTGAGGTTCCTGGAGTGGGGTTTCAGAGGTGTCTCCATGGAGAGGATCCTGGTGGAGAGGAGTGATGGTGTCCATCTTGAGGGTTCTTTATAACTCGGTTGAATTAGTTGGAAATGGTGAGCTAAAGGCCTCTATGGAAGATCAAATGGGCGATTTCCCAAAGGGTAAATCCTTGGGTGTCTAAGAATATCAAGAGGATTTCCCAGGGAGGTCGGAGCCTAGGTTATCGTCCCAGGGCGTCTAAAAATTCATCAAATTCGATTCCCCACTCTCTCATACTGACATAGTCAACAATAATCCAGTATTGATATATTTCCAACCTAAAAATAATTACATCCACAAAAATGACATATTCAATAAAGCTTTGACATATATGGTTATGAATAAAAATGGCTCTTAAAATATCTTATACTATTGGGCGCAAGTAGATTAAATGGGGCTTCTAGTGATCAGGAATAAAACATTTGAACTTATGAAAATAAAATGACAGTTACAAAAATTGTTCACAGCAAATAACGAATTTTTAAGGCTTTTATAACTAAATTTGAAGCGTGAGAACTGCACGTGAGGGTGGTAGATTGGAATTTAAATTAATCACAAAAAATGTTATGTATTTGGTTTACTATAGAAAATTTAATGATTTGAATAAATCTAAAGATATTTTGTATGTATTCTCATAAGAGCCTGTTTTGTAAATAAATATACTATCGTTGGAATGTAAACAAACAAATAACTTTTGCGCAAAATTAGTTAATGAAAACAGTTGATTACGATTGTGAAATTGTAAGATGATTTAAATTAACATGATATCGTAGACTTATTAAGATCTGGAAATGCATCGGCTTTCATAATTATAAGGAAAGATTTAAATTGTTCAAGAAATAAAAATGGCGCTACAGATTAATATTAATTCTCAGAACTTAGTTAAGCCCTCAAAATCCAGAAGCGCTAAACATTTTTTGAAGGTAAGGCTTTTTTAAGGCGCGGGTCATTGAATTAGAAATTTTTGTTTGTTTGTTATCAAAGCATTAAATTTAATGACTAAAATATTATTGTGCCTTGAACTAGGGATACAAAGAGCATAGGTGTATCTCTCTTCCCGTAGAAAGTGAAGTAAATTTGTCCAACCTGTCTAAATGAGATTTGATAATAGAGTAGATTATTAATCCATTGTGAATAGATGGTCATACAAAGGTTCTGACTGTTACCATCTCTTTTTACAGGGTGAATCTAAGATTGATAAACTGGAGTCCAGATCAGGCTCCCGTAAAGCTCTCGCAGATATCGTGAACAGGTTCTTAAAGATATTGTTAATAATTTATAACTTATCTCCCAATCCTAGGTCGATAATGTTTTCGGTGCACTCAGTGAATGAGTGCACTAAGGGATGTTCTCTAAGGGGGTAAAACTTATCAGTCAGATTTTAGGTCTTTGGTATAATTCAACAATTGCTCCCCTCCCCTTTATTTGGTATAATTCAACAATTGCTCCCCCCCCCCTTTATTTGGTATAATTCAACAATTGCTCCCCTCCCCTTTATTTGGTATACAATTGCTCCCCCCTTTATTTCAAGTTAAGTTGTATATTTTTAGAGATCCTTTGCAGCAGATTACTACATCATCTATTAAGTAAGTGCTTTACACATGCTGAAAAAATATAAACTCTTTTCAAATTACTTTCTGTTTTAGACGCGAACCTTCAGACAAATCTTTACCAGTCAAACATGTACAAGACATTCCTGTACTTCCATCAGGTAGATTTTAGTTAGCACTTCTCTCAAATGTAGGATATTTGCTGGCACACTTCCCTGGGAATAGAATATTTGTCAGTACACTTCTCTGGGTATATTATATTTGTTAGCCCACTTTCCTGGGAGTAATATATTTGCGAACACAATTCCCTGAGAATAAAATATTTGTTGGCACATTTCTTGGGATTATGACATTTGCCAGCACACTTCCCTGAGAATATAATATTTGCCAGCACACTTCCCTGAGAATATAATATTTGCCAGCACACTTCCCTGGGAACATAATATTTGCCAGCACACTACCCTGGGAATAGGATGTTTGATATTTGCCAGCACACTTCCCTGGGAATAGGATGTTTGATATTTGCCAGCACACTTCCTCCCCGGGAATAGGATGTTTGATATTTGCACTTCCTCCCCGGGAATAGGATGTTTGATATTTGACTGCACACTTCCCTGGGAATAGGATGTTTGATATTTGCCAGCACACTTCCTCCCCGGGAATAGGATGTTTGATATTTGACTGCACACTTCCCTGGGAATAGGATGTTTGATATTTGCCAGCACACTTCCCTGGGAATAGAATTTTTGATATTTGCCAGCACACTTCCCTGGGAATAGGATGCTTGATATTTGCCAGCACACTTCGCTGGGAATAGGATTTTTGATATTTGGCAGCACACTTCCCTGGGAATAGTATGTTTGATATTTGCCAGCATACTTCCCTGGGAATAGGATGTTTGATATTTGCCAGCACACTTCCCTGGGAATAGGTTGTTTGATATTTGCCAGCACACTTCCTCCCTGGGAATAGTAGGTTTGTTAACAAACTTCCGCAAGAAAAATGCCTTCTGTTGCACTATTTCTTGAATAAGATTTATCTTGTGATCATGTTAGTTATCTAGGTGTACATGATATTGATGCAGAAGATGAAGAGAACCCACAGTTGTGTACAGAATATGCTCCTCTGATGTACGCCTACCTCAGACAGTTGGAGCAAGACCAGCCTATTAGGAAAGATTTCTTGAAGGTGTAATGTAAATTTAATATGAATTTATTTTCTGAGATGCATGCTGCCCTTAATAAAAACAAAGCTCAAAGTCGGCAGAAAAAACGGAATTTTTAGATCTTTTTCAGATTTAGTTTTTAATGGTATTTTTAGAATTGTCATGTGAATGGTAAGATGAGAGGAGTTCTGTTGGATTGGTTAGTTGAAGTACATCTTCAGTTTAAACTGCTTCAGGTAAAGAAATGTTAGCTGGCGCACAAAGCTTTAAAAAATTTGATTTCAAAATGTTCAATGGTAATAATGGTTTTTAGTGGTAATAACGGTTCTTTAAATACAATTTTTTATTTGTATACCTAATTTTCTCTATCTTTACTATAATTGGAACATTTTATGATATGGAAATGTTTTACGTAATTGATATAATATAAATTTATTTTTAGGAAACTTTGTATATGGCGATATTTATCATTGACAGATTCCTTCAGGTTGAAGGACTAACTTTAAAACGAAACCGGTTTCAGCTGATAGGAGTGTCTGCCATGTTCATAGCTAGCAAGGTGAGCGCCATTTATATATCGTAGCTTTCTTTTAGCTGGATTTATTTTTACTTTAGGTTGAAGAGATGTATGCTCCTGAAATAAATGATTTTGTATATATTACTGACGACGCATACAGTGCTGCTGAAATTAGAAAGACGGAACTTAGGTTGGTTCTTATTTCTAGTATCCTCTGTCTATTTTTATACTTATTTTATTTTTTTTCTCTAGAATTTTGCAAGTTCTAAACTTCGGTATTAACAGACCTCTTCCCCTTCATTTCCTTCGAAGGTTTTCAAAGGTATTGCTTTTTGGTTCTGGTTTTTTAATTTGATTTTAAATTTACTCATTTTTTGTATTTCAGGCCGGAGATGTGGATATTATGCAGCATACTCTTGCCAAGTACTTAGTCGAATTATCCCAGGTAGGATATAAAATAAAATATGCTCTAGCTGAGAACTCTTGCATTATGAATATCTTTCGAGAATCTGCAGATTAATTTTATTAGTCTTTCGATTCGTGCCAGTCCGAAGCTAAAGATACCACTTTTGAGTAGGTGCGGTTTTGTACTGGTACTTGACTTTTTGTTACAAATGAGAGCTCTAGAGAACTTGAGGCTCTAATTTCATCAATTGTGTTCTAAAATTATTTAGATTGAATACGACCTTTCGCATCTTCCGCCTTCTCAAGTTGCTGCTTCCTCTCTTTATCTCTCGCTCCTTATTCTTACTCCAGGTAAATATTTTGTACTAGTTCTCCATTTAAAGTTTGGGACTTGGGTCAATATTTGTTTGAATCTTTTATTTTTTTATTTTACAGGAGCTAATTTGGATGTATGGAACCTTAACTTGCAACACTACAGCTGTTATGAGAGTAAGGATCTCCTTCCTACCGTATGCAGAATTGCCGTGATTCTCCAAAAAGCCCCTGAAGGAAAGCTGAAGGTAGAAAAGACTTAATTTATTTCAATTTTGGCTAGCAGGTTTAAATGTTTGGGTGCAAGTGAATCTGATGTTTCCTCTTTAAATACTCATGAAATTAGGTTCTTGGGCAGAAATCTACCCATTGATCTCTTTTTTTAATTTTAGATTAATTCCGCACTCAATTGTAAGAAGGTTTCTTTTACAAATTTATATTTTATTAAACTTTTCATTTAAAATGTGTTTAGGCCGTGTACACTAAATACTGCGAGAAGAAGTTTATGAGAATTGCATCGTGTAACGAACTGAAGGTTGATATTGTAGCTAAACTAGCAAGCAAACATCTGAACAGCATTGCGTAGCATTACGTACGACTACAGAAGCACCAAGAAGACTATCGCAGCATCAAAATGGACTTTCAAAGCCGACTTTAGTTTATTACCAAACTTCATGATAACTCTTAAATGATCTATGTTAATGACAAAGAAATGCAATACAATTTTGAATAAAATATCTTACGGCGTAGTAATTGTGAACTGATTGCAAGTTTTAACTTTAAGCAATTGTAAATTCTTTTTAAAATTATTTAGAAATTAGTTGTCTCCTGAAATTCAACTCAAGCTTAGTCTCGCCATATTTTTATCAAGTGATTAAATTATGGCACCTTGTGTCTATTTTTCTGTGTTCTCTCTAAAATGGTCTTCAACTCAGACCGAAATATATTTTAATAAATGTGGAACTAACATCTGCATATAGCATACCCATGTGAGCGTTAAATCTTTTTCGTTCTACGTTCGTTAAGGTGTTGCTCATACTTAGAATTTTATGATAAGAACATGGGAAGGGTTGTAGAGCAACCACAAGTCCTGCGAAAACTGTTTTTGATTGGTGTTTATATAGCTAAATTCGTTCATGATACATCTGTAAAATGGTTTAAAATTAAAAAACGGAAGTTTTAATCTCCCTTTTTAATACATTGTTGAAATTTTGCGAAATATAGCTGTTAATAAGCTGCCATGATTGTTACACAATTAAGAACTTTTGAACAAAGTATTAAGGTTGAAATCTACTGAGAACCGCTTAAATTCACATTTTATACTTGACGAAAAATTTGTTGATTAATAATCCCTTTTTTCCGGGGCTCTGGCTGCATCTCATTAAAATGTTTAACAACTAATTTTTTTTTCAATTTAGACCCAGGGAGTAAGGAATAAAAGGGAGATATATCTGACGCGGTTCGCCCTACCATATGATTATACATGCTTTGCAGACGGTACTTCATTTGTATAAGAAATATCTGTCTGATGTACAATTACCGCGTATACAATAACCTATTCTGAATATTTCTTATACAAATGGAGTATCGTCTGCAAAGCATGTATAATCACATGGTAGGGCGAACCGCGTCAGCTGTATCTCCCTTCTTTTCCTTACTCCCTGATGTTTAGACTTCATTAGTTGTCTCGCAATTAAATTTTTTCCAACATGATCACTTACATTTAGTTGAGGGCACTCCTGATCCAAAACTACAATGGCTGCTGCATATGCAGATGACTTCTCCGACTCTGTCATACTTATTTATATACAGGGTGTCCCACGAAACGTGACAGTTTGTGAATAGTTTTGAATGTCTTCATCCATAAACTGTTAGATATTATTGACTTTTTGCAGCTTATTTAGTTTAACAAATCTTTTACTAAAAATTATTTTACTTATAAATCAATTTTACTATAATAGCATGAAAATTTTCATATTCTCTTGGGGTTTGAACAACTTAACAAATTATGAAAGAACTTTGCACCAACTGTCATGTTTCGTGGGACACCCTGTATAAGAAAAGATCTAGTGTGAGACAGCTAGCTGCTAAACTATCGTCCTCAAAAATTCCTCTTCATATGTTTGTTGAATAGAACGACTTCTAACCCTTAAACATGATTTTCCTTCTAACCCTTAAACATGATTTTCCTTCACGTTTTTCAATACCTTTTAATAATCTCAATTGTTTGTTTCCCTCCCACTATACCTTTCAATATTTCTATATCCTCCCCCCCCCCTCACTATAGTTTTAGTAGAAGTAAATATTTCCATTTACTGATAGTTCCGATTAAAGGATTCATAACTCTGATTGGAAAATGAGAGAGATAGAGAGATAGAAACTCTGATTGGATAATGAGATAGTTAGAAAGATGGATGTTACCGCCTTACTATTTCTGTTGGTTTAGAATAGACAACAAACACATGACTGAACCCTGATTGGATTAGGTGCTAATGGACTCGGCATACAGGAGTGCCCCCCCCCCCCCCCCCTATCTGTCATTTTTCTTGATGTCTCGTTCGTCTCACATAGAGGCACAACTAAGGGGGGGGGGGGATAGCATGTTCATCCTCAAAATTAGTAAAATTGCGACACTACAGGTCTAAAACGAGGAGGAGAGGATAAAAACAACATACTCTTAGTTAAATTCAAAATTATAGTTTTCTAAAATGTGACTCATTATTTTTTCAATCATACAGGAAAATTAAAAAACCCTTCTCCTCCACCTTTCCCAATTTGATACCTCAGTTTTGCTTCAAGTCTTGTACAAGATCTTTATTCTAAAGACCCAATTTAATTAATTTGGTTTAGGTAATTTTGTGGGTGTGCTTCACAGCTGTTAAAGCTGAGTGGACCCAAGATTTTTTGGGAAAATTTTTAAATCTCTGCATAGTGTACTTTAAGTTTTACTTCAACAAATTTTCATTCTGGCTGTTGATTATTCCATGAAAAATACTTTGTTCTTTTAAAAAAGTTTGAATCGAAGTTCAGGGTCCAAATCAAAGAAGATTTTTGGTAGATCGTGGGCCCTGGAGTAAGTAGGTTTGGAATCGAAAAATCTGTTTTTGAACCCTGATTCTCATCTTTCTCACTCTTTTCTCTACCATTCTCTCTACCTCCTCTCTATCCATGGCTTTCTCTCTCTCCCTCCCTCTCATTAATCTCCATCTCTCTGACCTCCCCTAATATCCTAGTTACACCTCTTGTCTTGTACAATCTCTTTTTCTCTTACACTCTGCCTCCCCTCTATAGCTCTCTCTCTCTCTCCTTTTAACTCACTCTCTAGAATATCTGAAATATATGTCAGTGTTCCGACAACTTCGGAAGGGAAAGCAGCTTAACCCACACAATCAGAAAACTAAATTAGTGACTTATACGATAACATTTTTTTACACAAATTGGAAAAACGGACGTACTCTTTTCTTAGTTAATTACATTTTTCTTTTTTTTTAATTTTGTATCAAAAGATTAATGTAACAATGTCCATTGTCTATTCAATATTGCCTATTTTTGCCTACGCGGTCAATAAAAGAATATACAAAACTTTAATATTTTTTAATATATTGACTAGGCTGCATGATCAATGTCATAATCGTGTCTTCAAATTTGTATATCGATACACTACAAAATTAAGCTCATTTTAAGCATCTTAGTTCAAAATATAATGGCTTTATTAACATTGGTCAAAACTGTTAGGAATGCATATTTTTTATGATAATGGCAATACATTTTAGCTGCTTACAAAATAAAAATGCAACAAAATTTTAGCGATAATCAAATTTTATTTGTAATTGAATTTTATTTAAATCCTAAATGCAGTGCAATAAAGTTATTTACAGTTAAAAGTTCAAACAGTTTTAAGTAAAAGTTGTAATTCTTAAAGGAACATATAATTCTTAACTTCAAATTCGCATATCCGATTATAAATGGTTCCCTTTAATCCTTTAATCATGCATGACATATCCTATATTTTCTTAGTAAAAATTAATTATTTTCCTGTCTTAGTATCTTATGGATTTATGTACAGTAGTTGTCATAGCTCATAGTTCAACAATTGTCATGCTAAGAAAAGCATACTCTCTACCTCAAGGCCCATTGTCACTTAGTTAAATCTAAGGTGAAAGGGTACCTTTGTAAATTAGAAATGGAGGATCACTGTAAATCACGTCTACTATCCCTGTAGAAGAAATGAAATGATTCAGTAAAATCTGTAAATATTTTCAAATTATTTTAAGCCTTTTTTTGTATTTATTAGGGCCATTAATTTTGATTCTTTTTTATTAGAAATTTAAACATATGTATACATAAATGCATTCATTGTTTTTGAACACCTATTTGCACTGAATCTCAGTATCTACACCTGTTAAACGTTAAAAGAAAAAATATTTTTTCGGAAAAAAATTATTCAAATAAGATTTTTTTTCGCTAATTGTTTAGATTTTATTTAGAATGCTAAAAATCTAACTCATATTTACTCCAAAAATGTGGATTTTTCTTACAGCCGGAATCATAATACCGTGGTAAATGAAGACGAATGTTTATAGATGCGCATTTAATTTTGTTATAAAGCAAATAATTCTAACAGTAACTCAAAAATCAAATAGGAAATGGGTCTGTGCACACTGCACAATTGCTAAAGTTTATGTTCATAGACTCATCTATAAATCTTTCTCTTAAAACTGAAGAACAACAAAACAAATTTGTGTTCTCCTGCAGAATCTGACACATTTTTGAGAGGGGGTGAAATAATTTTGCCCCTCCCCCTAAATTAAATCCTGTGTACGCTCCTGAAATTCTTAATATTAATTGCGTATTATTCTTGCAGAGAAATATATAGGATTCATTTTAAAACTTTTGATAAATTCCATTTTAAAGTAGCAGTGCAGATATAGATGCAAGAATTGTCTCTGCAGTATAAGGGTGTAACAGATAGTGAAAAGTATGGCTGTATACACTCTGCAGACTCTTCCTCTGCAATCTTATAACAATTTTTGCACCCAAAATTATCCGATTTCGACAACAAAACCTTTTTTCCCTTTGATCATACCGTAATTTATATATTTCTTTGAATGGGGAAAGAATGGTTTGTCTATTGTAAATTCTATTTTGGAATCTTGTAGCTTGCAGTTGTTACTACTGAGACTGAATTCAATGAATTTTAGATGTTGCTGAATTAACTGCTTATACTACCCTAATGTATCTCTAAAAGTATTCTGGGCATGTTTTTAGAAATAGTTTAATTAATTGTGACATTCAAAATCTTAAGGAAAATCTATAGAATTACTTTCATTTCTGATTTCTACGGTAGATGATGAGACAAAAATTAAAAATAATTTAATTTTTAAAAATTTTTGCACCCTGGTTGTTTTACGAAAACATGCTGCAAAAAAAAAGATAAAGCATACAATATATTCAGTATTCTGTATACAAACTCAGTCTTTTTATGTAGATATATGTTATAGTGTCCAGTCAAAATGAAGTTCTTAAAAATGTCCAATGTTTTCCAACCATTTAGTTACATGTTCTAATTTTTTTCATTTAAAAACAAATAAACATTAAAAGATTCCGTCTTACAATCATGTATCAAAAAATGAATATTAGAATATTGAATATTAGATTTATTGCCCATGTACATTCTCGAATAATATATAGTATATTGCCACTTTACAGAAAATATTTCTAAATAAAGAAAACTTATATTTGCGAATATATGAATATATTCAAACCATATTTTACAATTTTTCCTTTACCAAGATATATTTCTGCACCACTGTCCAGCATATTTGACAGTATTTCTCTATGAAATTTTGTAATATTTTGGTCAGTTTGCCTGCTGTACTCAGTACACTGAACCCTCTATCTACTCTTTGGGTGTATACCAACAAACATAGGAATCATGTGAATACTTTTAAATCGCTTGTATTTTTTCCTAGAATGTTAAAAAATAAATATCCATTGTTTATCAACTGCTTATTTATTTAGTAAAATTTAAATTGTTCAGGTACTATTATTGCTATACCTGCAAATGGAAACCGTTTTCGGATTTTTAATGACCTATTTCAAATAAAAAACTTCTTTTTGTCATATTTCACAATTGATTTGTTTACGATAAATCTCTTAACTCTCATGTTTTTAATTTTATTTCTTATTCTTCAAAGCGTAAAAGTTGAAAAGTAATGTTTGGACACCATCTTCAAAACATATGTTTAGATTTAAGGATAATCACTGATACGAAACATATATACGACGTCACGCCTAATTTTTAAATGATATAGATTCTAATTAATTCCTATTCCCTTGCCTGCCATTTTAAGGGATGGGGGAGGAGGAGACGGGGGGGAGGTCACATTCCAGATATGCCTGAAATCTTTTGACAAAGTGTCATTTAAACTTTTTCTTGGAATCTTAAGTAATGAAAAAGAGTTCCACTTTCCTACCCCCTCATCAACTCTTCCGCCTCCCCCTCTCCCCCCCCATCACTTCTCCTACAAAGGGGGTTTTCCCACTACCGTACCCGTCTACCCCCTTTTTTTCTCTACCCCTATTCCTAGTAGGATAGTGTTGATCCTCTGTAAATTGTTATATAAAAGTACGAGCTCAAAATTCCTCTGATATCAATATTCTCAACATTTAATCAACAGATGAAACTCATTTTCCATAACTTGAATCTTATAACCCAATAATGTTTGCAGTTTAGAAAGCAAAGTTAATTTCTAATTAGTTTTCTCTATTTGAAACACAATATTTCTTTAAAAGCTAAATTTAGAAAAAGGTTTAAACAAGTAAAAGTCCAGTTTTCGATATCCAGCAATTCTTGCATGAACTTTTTCTTTCAAAATGTACTTAGAAATTTATTAGTTGAACTATTAAGAAACCGAACAATCGCTGTCAACAGAGATTTTAAAATCCTCTTTATCTTTACAACCAATTGAATTTTCATATTTAAAACTTTGACTTTGCAAACTCATAACATTCATAAGTAATTTTTTAATGTGTACAACTTCAGGTTTAAAAAATATAGTGTTCAAAAAGTTAGAATTATAGGCGAGAATATAATAGATATATATATGTATTTTAAATAGATACATTGACAATTAATAATGGCAAGAAAGACACTCGGGTTTATCCATTATTAAATTTTTAAACAAAAACTGCTTTAGCGAATTTTAGTGTGACCTGCAATATGGTAATTCCTACCGATATCTAAATATCCTTACTGAATTCACACGTTAACATGTATGAAGCACTAAAACATAAAGCACCTGACTATATCTTTCAGGCAGTTAGGGCAATTTAAACGGTATCGATACAATAAAATGAGATTTATGTGGAAGATGATTACAATTCTAATAAAAAAATTTCAAGTCTTATTATATCACGTTTACAGAAATGGAAAATTAAGAAAAATTATCTTGAACGGTAATTTACAAAATGTTACAGATAGATGATTTTATAATTTATCATTTCAATAAAATCAGTTTGCTAAACTAATCATATTGAACATTGAATCTAAACTTGTTTTTAATTGTTTCCGGCCTTACATCATATAAACAAAATAATCTTCAGAATAGTATCATCAGCTGAGGATTGCCACAAAAAAAGCTGCCTTTAAAAATATCATAATATAAACATATAAAAATGTATGTTCACTTGACGCAATAAACATTTTCTTGTATGATCGCCATTTACAACATTTACTTCTTTTAGTATATTTCTCTAGCGTTTGTATTGTTTGTTATGGAAGGGCCCCCCATTCTGTTTTTTAATGTATGCTCAGTGCTCAGGGCAGGCAATTAAATTCTTGATACAAATCTGAAACAAATTAAAAAATATGAGCCAGTCAGATGATTTCTATAATTATTTCGAGTTGAGATGATCAAAATAAAATTCTCAATACAAAAAGATAATCTTTTATTTTTTCATATTTTCAGGAAACAAAATGACTTCAAGAACTTGACGGGAATAGAGAAATATGAGCTTAGCTTCCGAGTAAGATATTTTTATAAGCAGAACATTTCTACATATTGACGTTTTTGTCACAGAAAAGTTTTGAAAAGTGTTTACTCAGCTACATTTTTATCTTTTGTAATCAGATCTAAGGACATTATTAAGAACGTAGAAAAAAAGCATACAATCAGAGACACGTGGGTTGCGTAGTATCACGGTACACTTGGGGTTCTAGTTATTACATCAATCAGGAAAAACGAGGAAAATTCAATCATTTTGCTATGGAAAGGTTTACTTATCATTGGTAATCGAACATGTAACATTGGAAACGAGGAGGCACTTAACATCACAGACTTAAAGAAATTTGCCTTTATTTTACACATATCTTGAATGATTTTTAAATTTTGTACTTTACAGGTTACTAGGTCATAGTTAGTCCCACTGATTACCCGCGCTTTGTCGTAAATTATAATTGTAGCTATTTCCCTAAAAAATAGGATATATTCATTTTAGAATTTCAAAACTAAGCTAAAAACTTTCCCGGTGGCTCTCCCCAGTTCCGCGATCAAAATTTGAGACAAATCTGTCCCGGGGGTTTCGAGTTATGATCGGACAAACAAACAAACAGAGATTACAACTTTGAATATAAATACACAATGAAACTATATCTATAAACAATTTCAAAGAAACTGATTACATCCCACATATTCTCTGTTTTGCTAACCCTCTTACGCTATAAACTTTCACATTTCAAGCTATAAAATCTGTTAGATCAACTATTTTCAAAGTTTTACATATGAAAGGTTGCAAAGATATACGTATGAGAAAGTTAAAGTTTGTGCTGAGTTTTCAATTCCTTTGTATCCATTAATCTTTAAATATGTTTGTTTTCTAGAAGAACAAGAAGAAGAGAAAATATTTTGAGAACAAAAAGTTTAGAACAAAATACTTCAGGTTAATATCTTACATTTAAGAGACATTGATTGTAAAGCTAAAAGCGGATAGTTTAAGGAAAAAGATAATTTTTAAGGGACTGTTAATAAAATGTCATGTGAAATTTCAAAAAAATTAAATAATTTCTTAACTTTTATAATTATGAATAAAGGTACATTTTATTGTAACAGCTAAAGATTGTCTAGTGGAATAAGAACAAAAGATTAGTTTCACACAAAGGCTCTGAGCCTCTATAGATTTCACACTGTACAGTTTCCATATTTGTTAATTGGTTTTAGACTTAAATCTGTTTATAAATATTAATATTGTTCTATAGGTTGTATTATCTATGAGAAAACTCCAGGTGTATTCTATGATGCTCCATTTTTACAGAATGAACCCAGGGATACAAATCTAAACATTTTTCATTAAATAGAGAAGTTAAATTAAAGATCCTTGCAATCGATTTTTTAACGAAACCTTTATTTCAGGTTTTACTTGAACTAGTAAGTTATAAATATATTTCAATGACAAGGTGTGGGAAGTAAAACTCTGTGTCAGGCCGATTTAAAACTTAAAAGTGTGCAGCTTTAAAGTAATTTTAGCCAAACAAAGCTTTATTTTTCATATTTTGAATTCTCTAAAAATATGCTAAAATTGTTTGTAGTAACAAGTCTCTGCAAAAACCGATTTGAAGACAAAATTAGAAATTGGACAAAATTCTTTTCTTATCCCAAAATGCAAACCACAATCGGGAAATGGCAGGACGTACTAGGAGAATTTGTGTGACAACTTGTATATTCCGGATATGCTTTGCTTTGGTTAATTTAGCCTGCCAAGCTAGGTACAGGGTGTGGGACTTACGTTGGTTAATCTAAATCTCATTTCATGAGGTTATGAGACAAGTTCAATCGTTAAACATTTCACATTAATTACAATTTTCTATGAATAGAGTAAAGTACATAATTCTATTATTGTTAAGCTTATTTTGTCCGAAGAAAAAATGGAAATGATTCATCATTGCTTCAGATACACAGGTTGCTTCAAAGAATATCAAATTGCTGTATTTGGTCATATATTTCACTTAGGTTGGTTATAAATTGCGTTATTTGGTTTTAGTGTTAAACTTTATCAATTTAAACTCGCTTAATCTGGTTCAGTAAAAATGTTTATAAAAACACTATTTTTCATGAGTTTATGCCTAACAAAAAAGCGTTTAAATTATTTTTCACTTAAAGGGACTGTAAAGGAAAAATGAAAGGGGGTATAGGCTGAAAACTAATCACTTTAGCTCTTGATCGCGACCCATGAAAGTTATATCTGATGTTCCTGTCTCGAGAAATTGATATGAAACTGTGTTAAAATTATACAAAAGTTCATATATGTAAAATTTAGAAAATCTTAAACTTAAAACATGATCAGAAATATCACCAATGGTAGAGCAGTATACTGATCACGTGTCTCCGACTGTATCACGTGACCACTTTACTGCACTGCCATTGGTGAAATTTCTGGTCAAGTAATACGGACGTATAAATAATATTATGAATGAAATCTATTAAAAATAGAAATAACAAATATAAAAGTAAACCTAATTTACAATTAGCTTTCTCTGGGATATCATCGTTTTCAGATTGGTTGCTTATTTGCTGAATTTGATCTTTTTAAACCTACTACTTTTATACAAAATTGTATATATATTAATTTTCGTATAAATTTGACAAAGTTGTGTGTCAATTTCTCGAGATAGGAACATCAGATATGACTTTCATGGGTCGATCTAGAGCTAAAGTGATTAGCTTTCAGCCTATACCCCCTTTCATTTCCTTTACCTTTGTGCTGTTTCATATCAATGTAAAACTATAAACAAATTCCGCAATTCTATGTATAACCAAATAAAGCAAGTTCGCAACTTACGAAATTATTTTAATTTAATATGCAATATTTCCAACAGAGACATTATAGGACCTACTGATCTATATGAAGCATCTTCTGAAGGAAAATAAATTATTAATTAAACTTCAATAGCTTAGCTCTTGAATTGCATTTCTTAGTTCTAAAATTTCAAAAATGCATTATTTTGCATATTTATTTTTTAATGTCCTGTAAATGTTACAATGAGCGAAGAAAAAAATTTGACGAATAAAGATATACAAACCTGATAATAATATTTTAGTAAGAAGTAATTTTGGTTAGGATCTCTACTTGCAATGATATTAGGGTTGAAAAATAGGTTAAACCAAATTCAGCAATTTTTTAAATATAACCAAATAACGCACTTTACTCTACACCAAGATCAAAAACTAAATAATTGTTTTCATGCTAAATGTTTAGAATCAAAATAAAATCGGTACAACATTTAGTTTTTTGCTATTTTTGTTTTGAAAGAGTTTATAACTCTGTTTTTTTCTGGAAGGATGGAAGGAAGATACACCAGGCACCACCGTGGCCTGTATCTTTTGGTTTACAAATATAATTTATAGCAGCTTTAATTTTATTTGAAAATAAACAAACTCAGTAGATTTTAGGGTTCAGGTTTATTTTCATTCCTCCCATTACACCTTGTTTGTAAACAAAGATATGAAAGTTCCTTGTGTATTTTCCTTACCTGACTCTATGTGGCCTATTGAAAGGTGAAAGCAAGTATTAAATATGTATAATAATACGAGCAATTAAAACTTTCGCCTGAAAACAATCTTTATTCGTCCCAAGGGGAATTGCTAATGTTTGCAAAACGGTGAAGGCATAATGAGGGAATATTTATTTGTAAATATTTACAAACAAAAATATACGTATAACAGCACAACAAAGATTAACTTTTTTAACTCCCTCATTAAATTAGGCAGTGTGAACAATTTTTTATTTTTTTTTCAATTGAAAATTTTCAATTAATTTTTAAATAAAAACCAGTGGAACAATTAAAATCTTTTAGTTTTAAATTAAATCTAACTTTCGAAATCACATATTTATAAAGGTGTATCGTTTTATATCTTCATGTCCTATTGAATTATAATTATTTCTGTTTTATACGTGGCATGATAAAATAATTATTATGATATTGCGGTGATAGTGTACAAACTGATGACAAACTTTGATAACAAAATTTCAGAATCAAAGTTAAGATATTTTTTCCCGTGTTAGCTTGATTGAAGGAATAAATCTGCCACTAAAACGTATACATAATTGGTGGCAAATTGTCAAAAAAAGTGACATTTATTTTAAGTGTAATTCTAACAAAAAATCTTATTTTAATTCTTTAATTTATATATCTTCTATCCGTGAATCATTGTAAAAAGTACAAATACCCCCCCCCTGCTACCCCCCCCCCATTGCTCCTAATGACATATGTCTTTTCTGTTGTGTGAACATTTGTTTTCTCTAAACTTGAAAAGCAAGGTTGAATTTTTTTTAACGTTTGACATTTAAGAAAAAAATTTTATTCTTTTTTAAATCTTGATTTTTATTAATTATTACAATCCATTCTTGAGTTATGATTTTGGAGCAAATATGTTTCAAATCTAACTGATCACTTACCACAAACTCTGATTTTCTAATCCTAAATCTTCGGAACCTCGTGGTTTAAATATTTGATTTTTCATACGTTGAACTAGTATACATATCAGAACTCATAGTTTAAAATATCAAAGATTTACAACACCAGTGGCCGAATTTAAAGAATTTGAGCGGCGGTTTAAATTTAAGCCGCGGTTTAAATATGGTTGGTTCCACTTAAAATTGTATCAAATGTTTCAAGATTTAAACCGGCGCTTAATTTAAACCGGGTTTTGGTGGATTTAAACCGCGGCTCAAATTCTTTAAATTCCATCTCTGGTTAAACAGATAAAAGGATCATAAAATTAGAGTGTAAGACAAGTTCCTTTTGGCTAAAACTTTTAAAGTAGAGTCTACATTTGATTTATAATTTCTGAGCAAAGCCTTGTTTTGGTTGAAGTCTACACTTGGAAAATTATATTTTATTTACTTTGTACTTTTATACATAATACATGTTTCATAAATATGTACTTTTCACATTTTCTTTTTTACCATTACATTTTCCTTCTTACGATGAAAAACACCAAAACATTTTCGATAAATATTTTTTTTTACACAAAATATTCTGAATAATATGTTATCATGAAATTATGCTAACTTTGCACAGATTGTGTTTTTTTGGGAATAAAACTAAATTTATAATTTTTTTCTTTTTATTAAAAGTCTAAAGGTTTAATTATAACTGTATGTATTGTGGCATGTCCGATTAAAAGTGACTTGAGTATATATGTTCCAGGGGGTCAGGGTAAATTCTACATGATCAATCTATAAGAGGAGGGTTACTTTAAACTATCTACAGTCCTCCAAAAGCAAGTTGAAAGTTTAAAGTGAACAAATATAAATGAATATGGATAAATGTAAAAATAAAAGGATGAAAATCAATTGTAGTTTGGAAAATAAATGGAAAAATGAGAATGAAGTGGGGTTTAAAAAATTAATGAAAGTAAAAAAATGAATGGCTGGTTCTCATGATGAAAAATGAATTAAAGTAAAAAATGAATGGTTGGTTCTTGAAACAATTTGCAATATTAGAGTTTCAGTAAAATGATCGCTCACAAAAGAACGAATGAAATAATTGGGAAAAATTTGTTGCAAATTAATATCAGAATGAAGAAAATTTGACAAAAATAATGAGTGGATAGATCGTTCACCTGAGATCTTGATTGCATCTTATCTTGTCTGTGCAAAAAATATTTTACAAGAAATCTTGATTGTGCAATGAAACAAGATATTTATTACTAAAACAGAGACAAGTTTTTCTATTTTACTACCATAAGCATCCAGGGCGCTACGCGCTCTTTTCTTAATTAAATTTTAGCTTTTAACTCTTACTTTAAAGAGACTGTAAGCGTAAAGTGACCCTCCATGCAAAAAGGGCAATATCTGATTTACAACAGTACTCTTCAATCCCTTGACTGATCATCGAGGGTAGAGAACTCAGTGTGTACGTGTCTGATTTTGTGTTTAAATTCCCGTAAAACCGGAGTGTATGCTAGTTCAACTCAGAATATGTCGGTTATCCTTGATCATTTAACGTTTAAAGGATACTGTTGTGAATCGGACATGCGGTTCTGTAAGGTCACTTGAAATTACACCTACTGTCTATTTGACTGTCACCAATTTTCTTAGAAAATTAAAGAAATTGAACATTTCCTGTAAAAAAGTTTGATTCGATCGGCGTATGGTATTTTACCTTTACCAATCAAACTAAACTACTAGATGTATTTGTCAATTTAAAGTTTATTTACAAGAAGGAAGAGTACATATTTTTTTAGTCGTAGAGTTTGGATCTCAAATATTTTGGAAAAATATCTAGAAAATCAAAAGACATTTCCCCATCTATAAAAATAAATCACCGAAAGACAATGATCCCAGTTAAGAATCTCTCCCCCACCCCCCAACCCGTTTTCCCAGATTACGCCTAATTAGCTGATTAACCTTCCTGTGCACATTGAACCCCCCCCCCCTTCCAGAAAGTTTAGATTTGTTGACACTGTTTTTAGACGAAATATGACATATCCTCATAAGAACGCAGATGTGAAGCTAATTAGGTAATCTTTTCACATTCGGGGTTAACTAAAAAAATGGATTTGTAAACGCAATATGACTCATTTTTAATTGGATGAAGGGGGGGAGTCGGAGGAGGATTTAAACTGGAAGGGGGGGGGTCGGTGGTTGAAAGAGAAGTTGAAAGGGGGAATGGGTGGGGGAATAAACAAAACATAAACGATGATATAGTTAAACAACCTTAATAAACTTTTTCTTAGAAATCGTTCTATTTATATAATCTTCTTCTTCCATCATTATCTTTAATGAGTTTCTCTCTTAATCTCACAATCTGGTCCCCCCCCCCCTCCATTCCCTGAATCCTTCCCCCTACCTATACCCTCTCCAGAGGCATATATAGAGGGGGGGGGGGGTTAAAATTAAATAGTGATAAACATAAATACATACGGTGGTATCCAGAAAATAAAAAATTTCTTCGTAATTTTTAAAATTTCCAGATAAAAGATATCAACAAATGTAATATCATTGGTGATTTAAAATAAATGAAAGAAAGAATAAAGACGACAATTACTTCACTGTTTTCTAGTTATCACTGAATGTAAATACTACTAAATCTATTTTACTATTTTTAATATTAAGATTGTCATTAATACGAGAAAAAGATGGAAATAATGGATTAATGAATATGCGGAAACAAAGTGCTCCTTTATCCTTACAGGTTACTTTTATTATATTATTAAAAATAGTACCATACTCTAAGGGGTGTGGTCTACACGACCCCTTAGAGTGAGGGAGGGGGGATGGCTAAAATATTTATGGATAAGAACTAAAATTAAATTGTTGTACATGTAATAATGTATGATGCTAAATCAAGAAAGAAAGTAAACGATACAAATTATACAATTTTGTATTCAATTCTTCACAAGAAATTAGTTTCGGATTCTTCTATGTCTCCTTATTCATTGAACATCCCCCATATTACTTTGATTAGGACAACCTGTAAGATTTATAAATTTTTCAACATTTCTTTGAATTGATTTTTATTACTCGTGTTTAACGAGAGCCAACCCATTAAAAGGTCGGTCAACGTAATTTTAAGGGACCCTTAATTTGAAATAAGCACGGCCGATTCACAACCTTTGTCTGGGCAAAAATTTGTTATTTTTAGTTTTTATTTCTTAAATAATATGTTTGTTAAGTGCTCCTGTTCTAAGAAGAGGCAACTTCAATTAAATACGTACAATGGATTCAAGGCTTTACAATTCAAGGAAACCAGAACTAAACAAATTATAAATTAAAAATCTTACAAAAATCGGAATCATGTATTTTTTGCAAATAATTCCTTAATGAGGATACTTTACATCAAGATTAGTTAGATCCTGTAATGAATGCTTCTTATTAATTAGAGATAAATAAAGAATTTGATATATTCTTCTGAAGCACTGAGTACATTCATTTAAAAGAACTTTTATACTAAATTTATATCTTATATTTGCCTTTCATCTCAACTTCTATTTATTTTTTGATTTTTGTTCTTACTTTAATGTATGAAGCTGAATTATTAATAAACTTTAGAGAGAATGTAAGCATAATTTTAGTGAACCTCCATGTACCCTCCGTTAAAATGTTTATGTGTTCGTCTAGTGCAGAGTTATGTGTGTGCAAACGTATCGAACCCCGCTGTATTCAGCTGCAATTTTCGGTATGAGCTGAGTTGAGTTCGTGGTGTACCAAGCGCACACTGGAAATTGCAGCTGAATTAAAGCGGTGTTCGATAAGTTTACACACACATATCTGTGTACTTTACGTAGTCACAAAGGTTTTAAAAGTACCGTTGTAAAAAGGGCACTGCCCTAATTGCATGGGGGGTCACTTGAAATTACGATTACAGCCTCTTTAACAAAGTTTTACAAAACACATGAAAACCTCTAAGTTTGCAGGCGTATTTATTTAAACACCTGTGCTTTTTCAGAGCACTTTTAAATATGCTCCATTAAGTTTTATTTATAATTTCATTCAGTATTCTTTTGATATTCAACACTAAAACAAATTGCTTTAAGATTTACCTTATTTTGATGCTACAAAAAAGTTCAGCTCTTTTATTTTCAGTTTTAATTAAGTATATTTAATTTTGTATTGATAATCTTCTGTAATGGCCTTATCCTGAAAACTTTATTTTTTTTGATGACGGTCATTTTGAAGAATATTTGGTTTGGTTTGGTGAAGGATCCTGAGGTTGAGACGGAGGCCAGAATCCTCCGGAGGTCATCGATGAGGTCAGTAAGATGTATGGAAAGAAATGTTCTTAGTTAAATTTTTAAAATATTCTTTTAAATCCCTTATTTGGTCCTAATGCTAGAAAATTAAGCTTATAAATGCCTAACTATAAAATCTTCAAATATAAAGCTTACAGAAGTTTTATTATAATATAAGTCTAAATTACAACATCCACTATTTAGATTTTGTTACACTGTATAGTTACTTTTAGTAAAACAAACGTATTTTTGAATTTTAAAATCGAAGAGTAAGAAAATACTTCCGCATCGAATTGAACTTAAATCGCAATTGTCTCTTTGTATACAACACATTTTAACCATCGAGCTTTACACTTCATTTAACAAGAATTCTTGTTTCGCGATAAATTTTACTTTTGGGCTTTTTATGATATTCACAATTTATCGATCTCCACTCTGTGCTACAAATCGATCCATATATTAGGTCAACCTTGTGTGGCTTAAAAAATTTCATTACCATGACTTCTTTAATGGTTTAGGGGGTCAGAACTCGATTTAACATAAATCTGAACACACATGGGGGACCCAAAAAAGGCCCCCAAAAATGGCCAAAATTTTTAAATGTTAAATGTTAAAATGTTAATCCAAAAACTGTACTTCTATGACCCCCCAAAACAAGCTTAAAATATTTAGGATCATCAAAAATAGTTTGTTGTATAAGTCTTATAGAATATTGACAAATATAAATATCTATTGCGTAATCTGAATTTTTATTTCAGCAAAACCTGAATTAGCGGAAAATAGATAGTTTCAAAGCAAAAATATTATATTAATAATCAAATTTAACGAAATTTAAAGAAGAAAAATTAGTTTTTGACAATTGTAAGTAGAAATGAAAAATAAACACAGTTAAGGAAAGAAATGATTAGGTAGAATCAAGAAGAAAATCAAGGTGGAATCTGAGATATTAACAGATGAGTTTGCTGTTTAGAAAAGAAACATATAAAGAAATGATTAGGTAGAATCAAGAAGAAAATCAAGATGGAATCTAAGATTTTAACAGATGAGTTTGCTGTTCAGAAAAGAAACATATAAAGAAATGATTAGGTAGAATCAAGAAGAAAATCAAGGTTGAATCTAAGATTTTAACAGATGAGTTTGCTGTTCAGAAAAGTAACATATAAAGAAAAATATCAAGGGAATCCAGAATAACAACTATTAAAAGTGAAAGTAAGGATTACGATTTAAAAAACAAGAAGGAAAACATAATTGAGAATTCGGTGAACATGAAAAAAATATACATTTAAATACTTTATCTCTACTCTAGTTATTTAAATAATGTTTTTTACAAGTTCCCTCTCTAAATATATATTATCATACGTTTTTACTCATCTGTTATCTTAGTTCTCATTTTTTTTATCTATTTATCCTTTTTACATCCACTTCTTTTTATGTCTTTATTTTCTTCCTTTTATTTAAATTTTTTTTACTCTTTTTCCTTTTTCTAACTTTCACTTTTTCATTCTAATATTTTCCCTTTCACTTTGTACGTCTTGTTCATCTTTACCTACTGATTTTATTGTCATCCTTTTATCCTCATAATCATATCTTCCATACATTTTTTCATACTTTTTCTGTAGATATTTTGTACTAAATACAAATCTTTCATTATATAATTCTCTTTCTAACTTCTCTTTTCTACTTTTTAAAAATTGTATTTTCACTTTACCATTATTTTAAATATATTAATTACTCCCCAATTTAATTTTTACTCCCACATCGATTATTACTAATGATTCCCCATATGAGAGTCACGGAAGTTCGTAGTAAGATTTTGACTCCAATGGAGACCACCGGAGGGAATTCATTTTCACTGGAGGGGTTTGAAAAAATGCTTTTTTATAATTTAAAACTTTACGCAGGGTTATTTCCATTCCTTCTTAGGGGTTTATTAGTCCACTGGATGGATTCAGATATCCTTCTTAGGGGTTTTTAATTCCACTGGAGGGATTCAGATATTTTTCCAGGGGGTTTATAAAATCACTAGAGGGATTCAGATATCATTCTTAGGGGTTTATAATTCCACTGGAGGGATTCAGATATCTTTCCAGGGGGTTTGTAAATCCACTGGAGGGATTCAGATACCTTTACAGGGGGTTTATAATTCCACTGGAGGGATTCAGATGTCCTTTCTGGGGGCTTATAATTCCACTGGAGGGATTCAGATATCCTTCCTGGGGGTTTATAATTCCACTGGAGGGATTCACATATCCTTCTTTGGGGTTTATAATTCCACTGGAGAGATTCAGATATCTTTCCTATGGGTTAATAATTCCACTGGAGGGATTCAGATGTCCTTTCTAGGGGGCTTATAATTTCACTGGAGGGATTCAGATATCTTTCCTATGGTTTTATAATTCCACTGGAAGGATTCAGTCATGCTCTCTAGAGGCTTATAATTCCACTGGAGGGATTCGGTTATCCTTCCTAGGGGTTTATAATTCCACTGGAGGAATTGAGATATCCTTCCTGGGGGATTATAATTCCATTGGAGGGATTCAGATACCTTTCCAGGGGGTTTATAATTTCACTGGAGGGATTCAGATATACTACCTATGGGTTTATAATTCCACTGGAGGGATTAACATATTCTTCCTGGGGGGTTATAATTCCACTGGAGGGATTCAAATATCCTTCCTATGGGTTTATAATTCCACTGGAGGGATTTAGATATCATTTCTGGGGGTTTATAGTTCCACTGGAGGGATTCAGATATCTTTCAAGGGGGTTTAAAATTCCACTGGAGGGATTCAGAAATCTTTCCAGGGGGTTTATAATTCCAGTGGAGGGTTTCAGATATCCTTCTTAGGGGTTTGTAATTCCACTGGAGGGATTCACATATTCTACTTGGGGATTATAATTACACAGGAGGGATTCAGATGCTCTTCCTAGGGGTATATAGTTCCACTGGAGGGATTCAGATAATTTTACAGGAGGTTTATAATTCAACTGGAGGGATTCAGATACTTTCCTACAGGTTTATAATTTCACTGGAGGGATTTAGATATCCTTTCTGGGGGTTTATAATTCCACTGGAGGGATTCAGATATTTTTCCAGGGGGTTTATAATTCCACTGGAGGGATTCAGATATCTTTCCTGAGGGTTTAAAATTCCACTGGAGGGATTCAGATATCTTTCCAAGGGATTTATAATTCTACAGGAACGAGATATGAATCCCTCCATTGGAATTATAATCTCCTAGGAAGGATAACTGAATCCCTCCAGTGGAATTATAAACCCTTTGGAAGGATAACAGAATCCCTCCAGTGGAATTATAACCCCCCAGGAAGGGTATATGAATCCCTCCAGTGGAATTATAAACCCCTAGGAAGGATAACTGAATCCCTCCAGTGGAATTAGAACCCCCCAGGAAAAACATCTGAATCGCTCCAGTGGAATTATAAATCCCTTGGAAGAATAACTGAATCCCTCCAGTGGCATTACAACCCCCCAGGAAGGATATCTGAATTCCTCCAGTGGAATTATAAGCCCCTAGGAAGGATAACTGAATCCCTCCAGTGGAATTATAGACCCCCAGAAAAGACATCTGAATCCCTCCAGTGGAATTATAACCCCCCTGGAGGGATATCTAAATCCCTCCAGTGGAATTATAACCCCCCAGGAAGGATATCTGAATCCCTCCAGTGGAATTATAACCCCCCTGGAAAGATAACTGAATCCCTCCAGTGGAATGTAAATCACCCTGCGTAAAGTTTTAAATTGTAAAAAGCATTTTTTCAAACCCCTCCAGGGAAAATAAAATCCCTCCGGTGGTCTCCAGTAGAATAGAAATCTTACTACGAACTTCTTTGAGTCTCCATATGATTTTTATTCTCTCGATTAATATTTATATTATCATACAAATAGAATGATATATACTTTGGAGAAAAAAACTCAGCGGGAGCGGTTGAACCAGCGGTTGAGATCTAGCCTAGACTCTACGCAGTTCAGAATAAG